CTGCCCATTGCCCCTTAATTGGCTTAAGATGTTGCCGATGTGGCTACAGTTCCTGCTTGATTGGCCAAAAAGTTGTCCGTTTTCAGTTTTCAACTTAAAGGCGAATGCGAATGCGAGTGCGAGGAAACGGAAACTTTCACGCCAAGGACTCTGGGCCACCTTGACTGCCTTTCCATTCGAATGGCTTGCTCAATGGCCGAACACAGACCCACACACCCGCAAAATATTTATGTGCCAGTATTTGTGCGAGTCTTGTGTAAATTGTCTGCGAAAACTGCCATGGAGTGCAGTGACTAGCACTGGCACTGGCACTGGCACTGGCACTGGCACATGCCCTGGCATTTGCATTCGTCTGCCACACCACGCCACGCCCTTCCAGTTACCTTACACGCCACTAGCTGTGATTTCGTTTTGCATACTCCTACGTACGTATCTCTTTTCCTCTATACTCGTACCTCTGTCAGCACATCACCGCTGGCTCATCCTCATCCTCATCCCCAACCTCATCCATTTCGCCCTTCCGGCCAGCACACTCCGATGCTATGCTCATTTCGCCAGCGCCAACTAAAAATGCATTTCCTGTCAAGTGTAAAAGGGAAATGATGCGATGCTCTCCGGCTTTAACGTGCAATCAATCATTGCCGTACCTCTTCCTGCCCCACCCCCATTCGTCCCTTCAGCCCTCATCGTTTGCGGTGGCAAAGTCAACGAAGTCGGGTTTATTAAGTCTGGCAAACAGTGTTAAGTATTTGTCAAATGTGAAATGTCAAAGTGCGCTCTCCTGTGCTGGCAGGTTCCTGTTTCCTGGCTATCCACACATTTGACTTTAATTGCGATGCTGATAGGCAATTGAGCCCTGTTCCTTTTCCTCTTCCTGTTCCTCTTCCTGTCTCTGTCCATGTCCTTGTCCATGGCACCAGTTAGCATTGATGTGCTATTTCCGTTTCTTGCGGTTTCTCCTCGATTACAGGCACCTCGCGATTTCGCTCTGGAGGGCTTTGAATTTTCAAGTTCAAGCATTTGAGTGCCATATATGCATATATTCTGAATAATTCTCTTTTTCTCCCTCTCTCTCTGTCTCTTGTATTTTATGCCTACGCATCTTGATGGTCTGGGGTACGTGTTCGGACACTGTAATCGGATGTTAATGGCTCACACCAACCTCCAAGACGGACACAAAGGCCCCTGAACGTTTCACGCACTTTCAATTTTTGAACAATTTTGAACATCGATCGCCTCTACTGTACAAAGGTCTCGGAGTTCCTTGAAGCCGCTTAATTACATCGATTCGAACCGCTGAAATGAGTTGACAACTTTTTCCTGGTCTATGGTGAATTTCCAAGAAAAACCTTTTCGGGCAACCTTCAAGTCTTCTGTATTAATTAGGGCCCACTTCCAAAGACCCAATGTTTCTGTTTCCGTCAGTTTTCCCTCATAGAGCAGGATGGAGCAGCTGGTGCAGGTTCTCAACTGTAACTTTTGTAATTTGGGGCTTGGTTTCCTTTCAAACTCGAACTCAAATATGCATTCATACAATAATTCGCAGCCACTTTATGATTTGCCTACCCTTTAATGTTACATTTGACCTCAGAGTGCCCATTGAGGAGGCATGTCCACAGAAATGAGAAATAAAGGAGCGCAGTTATTAGTAATCCTCTTTGCCCATTGCTCGGACTTGTGTTTTTGGACCTTTGTTCCAGCTGTTGAGAGACGTATCAGACGTACTGTAGAGAAACTGTGCCAATGTCTGCATGTGGGACACGACGCCCATGGACACCCACCATTAAGTAAACATGAAATGGAACAATAATAAGTTTTCTAAAAGGCAGGGGTAAAAACGAAAACTGAAAATCATGCCGCAAATGAAGCAAACGCTGCTGACATACAAACGGCATCCAAAGTGAAGTCAAAGCGGACCCCTGTGACAAGTCCCCCTACATCTTGGTAGCAGGTGAAGAGGGGTGGGGTGGGATGAGGTGGGGTGAGGTGAGGGCCCCTCTGGGGTAACCTGGCCCTCCGATGGCAGCAAATTTCGCGCTTCATTGGCGCGCATGTCTCGAAGAAAAACAAAATGAGTGTCAAGTGCTGAACGCAAGCCGTGCTGTAATGGCTGCAGACGCCTGAGGGGGGGCCGTGAAAAGGTGCTGAGTTGACAATGGGAAAGTTAATTGAATAGTACTCGAATCGCAATTAATTACGCACCCCTCCTGTAGGCCTACAAGGAAGCGCCAATGCGCTGAACTTGAAATCGAAGCCCGAAACGAAAACGAAACTGAAACTGAAACCGTATCCGAAATCGATGCCAGTACCAAAGCGAAGACAAATTTACCGAAACCAGTTCCGTCGACAATTGTCAAATTGTCAACTGGCACCAGATATACTTTTGTACATACTCGTAAGTATTACCGGTTTGGCCCAGCGCAACTTCTTATAGCTAATTCTGGGGCTGCGGCTGGGGCTGGAGCTGGGGCTGGGGCTATGCCTATGCCTGCCCCATATAAAGTGACAAGCGACGGGAGTGAACCGCATCATTAAGTCAACGTCGTTTGCATCGCCAAGAGTCGGGGAACTCCATTCCGCCTCACTCTTAACCGACACGGATACAAAAGTCCAGTCTTCGCTTCGAACCTTTTGTGTGGCACGTGCCATTCAATCTACGAGCAATCTAAAAGGAACTAATTCCCCTTTCAAGATGCAAGCCAAAGTAAGTTGTACTTTGGGAATCGAATGATACAAGGATGTCCCCCCATCATTCCAGTTCAACGGCTCATGCAGCACGCTCTGAAATCCATTCCACTCACAGGTTCTGACTGTTGTCTCCCTTTTGGCGATCGCCGGCTCCTGCAGCGCCGGATTCGCGGCCACGTACGCTGGATACCATCCGGCCACTTATGCCACTTATCAGGCTCCAGCAGCCGTATATCATCAACCGTATGCCGCTCCAGTCTACCACCATGTGGCTCCAGTGCTGGCCAAGACCGTCGTGCCCGCGGCCCCCGTGTACGCCAAGTCCTATGCCCTTCCAGCTCCAATTGTCAAGGCCGTTGCGCCCGTTGCTGTGGCTGCTCCCCTGGTCAAGACCATTGCACCTGCGCCCCTGCATACCGTTGTGAAGCAGGTGGAGGTGGAGTCGGCCCCACGCTACGACTTCTCCTATGGAGTGCACGACTCCGTGACTGGAGACATCAAGAGCCAAGTGGAGACTCGTGACGGAGGCAATGTGGTTGGCTCGTACAGCGTGCTCGATGCCGATGGCTACAAGCGCACGGTGTCCTACACCGCTGACGATATCAACGGATTCAATGCCGTGGTCCAGCGTGAGCCCTTCGTAGCCGCCCGTTCCGCCCCTGTCGTATCTCTGCCTGCCCCCATATACTACCCCCAGCAGACGCAAATCCACCAGCAGCAGCTCTTCGCCCCACAGCAGGTGGTCGCCGAACAGCACGGTGAAGTTGTAGAGGCACCTGCACAGCCAGAGCTCGAACCCACTCCTGTTGACTATACTGACGGACAGGATCAGCAGCAGCAGCAGCAGCAGGCCCAGCAGGACTACCCGCAGGATCAGCAGTTCCCCCCCTACGCCCCTGCCTCACCAGCGCCCGCTGCCGCGGACAACAACGATGACTCCGATGTGGTGGAGGCGCGCTCTGCTGCTCCGGCGGTAAACGCCAACACTACCTCTACAGTCGCCCCAGCGCCCGTTAATGAGGAAAACAGGGGGGACGACAAGAAGACAGCCTAGAATGTGACACTACAGAACCTTGTTGAAAAAATTACTCCAAAATAAATTGAGCACGAAACAAAAATTATTGCATTCTCGCACGCCTGTCGCGCAGGTCATTTTTCTCCGCAATTTTGTATTGAAAGAGCGATTTAACTACCTTTTAATAATTAATGGTAATGGAATTAATTTTATTTCAACTCTTAACTCAATAACAAGATTCAATATAATTTGTATTTCATTATTTAACGGTCAAATGCGCATGAGCCAGAACCGTTAAAACTTAATATTTAAACTGACGGCGAGATTTGCAGATTCAGCCAATACAGCGCAGCTGAATACACACACACACCCGAAGATTGCAATTGCTATTGCTTGTATTTACAGAAAGAGAGAATTTTTAAAAACAAAAATTTGCATCTATGATCACATGGCCACAAGACGACAGCGCATTGATTTGCGATTTGAATCTGGCGGGCAATATTGTAGCCGATCTCTTTAGCCGATTAGTATCGATCGGTGAACTGAACTAACGAACTAAAAGAGCGAGTTGATAATTCGCGAACGAACTCATTCAGGAAATTGAACGATACAAATATTTTAAATCAATTATATGAATAGGTAAAAACATGACATTATGAGACAAAATCATTGTCAAAGCAGCTTGGAAAACTGGCTTGTAACAAAATTTAAAGAAAATAGGGTATACAAATTTCCATACTACATACATATGTAGTTGATATGTATTAAATGTGTAGTTGCGGTGTAGTTACCATGAAAAAAACTTGTTTTGTTTAAACTTTATTAAATAAAATAGCTCAAAAAGCGAAGTCTTTAAAAATTGTAGAAAATCGATTCATCATTCGGATAAAATTAAGTGGTCAGTGTTTAGAGTCTGGGTTAGCTAGCAATATAAAGCCACGGACGATCATAGACAGAGATCGATTAACCCATTGTCGGGTATTATCCATTGGGTGTTTAAATACCCACACGAATATTATGAGACTTTCACGCAGTTCAGGTGCAACCTTTTTTATTTTAAAAGTAAAGGAAATGCATGGATCTGAAAGAAGAATTTACAAGCAGTATTATTTTCTGCGGGTGGGCTCAACTTGTTCTCCAGTTTAAATAAAGGGGGGCTAAGTGGGTTAGTTACTTTTTCGATAAATCCGCTCGCTTGCTTTTCAAACTAAACGGCGACATTTACTTCATTGTTCGGGAACGTGTTAACAAGTACAAAATATTCGTAAACATTTTTAGTGGAATATACAATAAAATTGTGTAAATTTTTATGTGAGTGATTTTTTCCAAATAACGTAGACGCAGAGGCACACACGCGTTGCGGTTTCGCACATAACCTGAAGGTAAGTTTGCAAATAAAAGGAACACCTATTCGTCCGTCCGTCTGTCTGCCTGTCTGTCTGTCTTTACCGCGAAGGCAGCGCCGCCAAATGTGCAAATGGCGGCTGACTGCAGCTGTTGCTTTGTTGTTGTTTCTTGCCTGCCCTCTGAAAAGCCGGTCTTATCGGTCTGCGTTTTCGCCTCTGCTTTCGTTTCTGGATCTGCCTCTGCCGACGCTCTGCCGACGCTCTGCCGGCGCCGTAGGCTCAAAGGAGAAGGAAAGGAAAACGAATCAAAGCAGCCCTTGTCATTTTGTTTCACACATCTTTGCAACATCATTTATTTCAGTTCTACATTCTACACTTGTCGTTCGGAGCAACTGGAGCTTAACAAATTATTTTAAAACAAAATTTTATTAAATCAAAATTTTCGTCATGAATAAAACGGATGCAAACACTCGTCAGGGCTCCTATAAGTCCAACACAATCAACACGCAGGTACGTTTCGCGGCGGGCTGTGGCGGGTTGATGCGCTCGGAATTAACCTCACTTTTGCTAATCTGTAGGACTCGCGCATGCGTCGCCATGAGGTTACCATTGAGTTGCGCAAGTCCAAAAAGGAGGATCAGATGTTCAAGCGTCGCAACATCAACGACGAAGACCTCACCTCGCCCCTGAAAGAATTAAATGGTCAGTCGCCGGTGCAGCTGTCGGTGGATGAGATTGTGGCGGCCATGAACAGCGAGGATCAGGAGCGCCAGTTCATGGGTATGCAGTCGGCACGGAAGATGCTGAGTCGCGAGCGCAATCCACCCATTGATCTAATGATTGGCCATGGCATCGTTCCCATTTGCATACGATTTCTTCAAAACACCAGCAAGTAAGTATTTGCAGTAGGTTAGTGCATGCGGTGCATTACAGTGACCCCCCACCACAGTACCATGTTGCAGTTTGAGGCAGCCTGGGCTTTGACAAACATTGCCTCGGGAACATCTGACCAGACACGCTGTGTCATCGAGCACAATGCGGTGCCGCATTTTGTTGCCCTGCTGCAGTCGAACTCTATCAATCTTGCTGAGCAGGCCGTATGGGCTTTGGGTAACATAGCCGGCGATGGAGCCGCTGCTCGCGACATTGTAATCCAACATAATGTCATCGATGGTATTTTGCCGCTGATTAACAACGAAACGCCGCTTTCATTTTTGCGGAACATTGTTTGGCTGATGTCTAATCTGTGCCGCAACAAGAATCCTTCGCCGCCCTTTGAACAAGTGACACGCTTGCTGCCAGTTCTGTCGCAGCTTTTGCTTAGTCAAGATATTCAGGTTTTGGCCGACGCCTGCTGGGCTTTGTCATATGTCACCGATGATGACAACCACAAGATTCAGGCGGTAGTGGACTCGGATGCAGTTCCTAGACTAGTGAAACTTTTGCAAATGGATGAGCCCAGCATAATTGTGCCAGCACTGCGCAGTGTGGGAAACATTGTCACCGGCACAGATGTACAGGTCAGTAGTCAATCGAATGGTACCTTTGAATTATTAGCTAATATCTATTGTTATTTACAGACCGATGTTGTTATTGCTGCGGGTGGCTTGCCCCGACTGGGTCTGCTGCTGCAGCACAACAAGAGCAACATTGTCAAGGAGGCTGCTTGGACTGTAAGTAACATAACAGCAGGTAATCAGAAGCAAATCCAAGCAGTTATTGAAGCTGGCATCTTCCAACAACTACGCAACGTGCTCGAGAAGGGCGATTTTAAGGCACAAAAAGAGGCCGCATGGGCAGTGACCAACACGACAACATCGGGCACCCCAGAGCAGATTGTGGATCTGATTGAGAAGTTCAAAATATTGAAGCCATTCATCGACTTGCTCGATGCTAAAGATCCACGCACCATCAAAGTTGTGCAGACTGGCTTGTCCAACCTCTTTGCGCTGGCCGAGAAACTGGGCGGTACTGAGAACCTCTGTCTCATGGTCGAAGAGATGGGCGGATTGGATAAACTGGAAACATTGCAGCAACACGAGAACGAAGAGGTGTACAAGAAGGCGTACGCAATTATCGATACCTACTTCAGCAATGGCGACGACGAGGCCGAGCAAGAGCTCGCCCCCCAGGAAGTGAATGGAGCCCTCGAATTTAATGCAACTCAGCCTAAGGCTCCAGAGGGTGGTTACACATTCTAGGCTACATATTACACATCATACAACTTCTTCTAACTTGCGACCGCGCTAGGCTACACTTACTACTACCATAGTCATCTTCTAACACAGCACGAAAAATCCCCCAAAAATCCCCAAAGTGAACATACTCAAGCATTTGGAGAGGCATACACGACAGACACAGACATGTTTTTTTCTCACCTTTATCAATCTCTCAAAACAGAATGGCATTATTTATCCACCACTCCCACGGATTTATTGAATCTCTGGTAGTGCATTATACACCAATTGCATCTCGTTTTCAAATCGTAATTGCATCCGCTCTACTCAGCTGTGCTGTTGGAGCATTGCCCTGTGCAGATTCCGTCTGTGTGCCCTAAATTTGTATTTGGAAACTTTTTGGGCCCGTTTCGGACATTATTTTAGGTTGTTAGTATTTATTTATGTATACATATTATGATTTTAATCCATCCACCTTCGCGCAAGCATTACAACAATTTACAACCCACCACCAGTGTCCTCATCCTCGATTCGTAATATTGTATTTTAAGTTGATGAATAAATAATGAATGTTTGAATTGTTTGAATGATTAATTATATTCTTTGCCCAAATGTTATCCATCCAGCTGTTTATTTGTTCATTTCATTTTACCCTAAATTACTCTTTAAATATGTACTTTTACACAAGTCTATTGTGATTCTGATTGATGAAATTGTATGCAGCCGACGTTTCTGATTGATGCAGTTTCATGGAACAACATCGACATTTTTCTGATTTGCCATCAGGGGACAGAATCATTATAAAACAATGACGTGAGAGAAACAACGGTGACCATAGCATACTTTAAACTACCAAAGTTGTGTATAATAAATGTAGAATTGCCAGGTGGTGTGTCGTGCCCCTTGTAGCAATAAGCATACATTTGTTCATATACATTCCTGATCTTCGCCGTCAGATGTCGCCACAGAGACATGTAGTTAAACTGTAGAACACTTATTTCCCAATCTATCGGTTCTGTCACCTGATGAAATGTTTTGTTTTAAATGAAGAGATTCCTTTTTTTGAGTATGAAACGAATGTATCGAGATTTCATCGTAAGTCTCTGGCTTTTGATAAGTCTTTGATTTGGATTCCTTTCAATTAATAAATGCATTCTTATTTTTCAGGATGTGTATCAAATTTACACTTGCACAGTTTCGGACATAAATGCTACATTCGCTGCTTCTTCATCTGCAGCTAAAAGCAAGTACATACGAGTATACACAGAATTACCCACATACGCGTCCAGCGACCCCAATCCAGATTAGATAAAATGATTAAACAAGAACTATGGAAACAGAGCGAACCGCACAACTCAATTCAATCAACAGCGGGACTGGGGACTGGAGAAGGCGGCACTAGCAGCAGCATCCGCGGCAATCATCGTTCATTGCAGCGCTCCAAAACAAAAACCAAACTCGTGAACGGTCGACGCTGATGAACACCCACACCGAATGCAGCGGCAGTCCACCGTAAGTCTTTTTAGATTTAATTCACGGCAAACAAATTATAAAAATAGATTAAAATGTGGCATCGGAAAAGTAGTTGCCGAAAATTTGAACCGGTATGAAGACATTGGCCAGAGCCAGAGCTTTTGCCTCCGCATTGCCCAAGTGTCGTCATCGATGAGGCGGGTGTGAGCAGCGCCGGGCAAACTTAATTGGTTCTTTTTGAATTCTTTTATTGTTTCCGAGCGCGAGCATTTAGTCGATTTTTGTCCGAAGCTGCGTGCGGGCGCGAATCTTTACAGGCACAAACTTTACATAATTTTCTGTCTCCTGTTTTCTGTTCAGCACTACCTCGATAGAACTTCTAACAAGATTCGTTCAGGTAAAAGCGTATCTTAAATATTGTTACGGCACTATTTCAGTCAAAACGGTGTTCTGTTCATTTCAAACGAAATGAAGAGGCCTTTGTGCCACTGATCAGAATTGACTGCTGCTCGAATATTTCACAGAAAACTATTGTGGTTGATGATGCCACTTCGAAAGCGCTGCCATGACCTCGCACGCAGCTATGGAAATCCAGTGAGGATTTGCCATATGCCACTCAGCCATTAACGTCGGATGTGCATTTGCGCTCTATTTTGCAATAGAGCAATAGACTTTAAAAAACAACACATTTGACAAACTCATGATGTAGTGTAATTTCGTAAAGAAAGAAAACAAAATTGGCGCACCAAAAATAAACAAAAACAATGTCTAGTATTAGAGTAGCGCTACTTATATAGCGAGAGCAGTGACGCTGCCGTTGGCGTAGGCGTGGGCGTAGGCGTAGGCGTGTATACGTATACTTTGAGCGGAAAACAGTTCGTTTTTATTTTCCATTTGGGTGGGGGTGCAGTTGGTTGATGGGGCAATTAAGCGAGCAGAAAGTGTGCGCGCCGCATAGGAATCGCCATGAAATGCAATTCGGGATTGGTTAAGGGAGTGGGCCCCCACCACCGAGAAGAACAGAAACAAACCAAACCAAGCCAAACCAAAATTCGCGTGAAATATACAGCCAAAGCACTGTCAGAAAGTTTTCCGACTCGGCGCTTCCGTTTTGTTTACTTGCCGAAAATTGTGTCAAGTGTTCTCTCGCTTACTTTATTTATTTAATCATTTGTTTTGTACTCTGTGTGCTTTTGTTCCTTCGTGCCTTGTTTAGGTATTGAAACAAAAGAAATTACGCTTAGTTTTTTATTACGAAAACCACTTTAGTGGCAACTAGCTAAGTTTTGTCTCTTGGAGGCGGCGAATCGCAATGGAAATTAGTGTAAAGTGTAGAATCTTATTTGCACTTTTTCTTTAAAATTTCAGTTGAACGGCCATAGTTCAGGGCAAAGTTTATGTTAGTGTCGTATAAATGTCGACACATGTGTTTCACATTATGCTGAAAGGGAATCTGAGGCTAAGATGGTTCAATTTAATAGATCATATGGCGTAAACCATCATAGATATATGTATGCTTAGATTGCAAGCATGTGGAATAGATTAATTTATTTTTTATGTACATATTTTACAGGATTCCATCGCAAGAGCAGCAGATCTGAGCCGCCCCATTATGAGTGAAGCACCCAATCCCCCTGCGAGCAGCGTTCCACCGGAGTCCAATCTAGCTGCGGAGATCTATCACAGCATTGCATCGACGGCCACCGATCAGAATGTGCTCATGTCGCCTCTGCTCCTGGAAGCCAGTCTGGCACTCCTCTACCTTGGCTCAGATGGAGCCACCGCAGAAGAATTCCAGAAGCTGTTGCGGCTCAAGCAACGCTTCCCAAGCAATGCCAAGATGGCCAACTATTACGCTGCAGAGCTTGCAAATGTAACCAGGGATGCTGATACCCACGTTGAATTGCAGAACCGCCTGCTGATACAGCCGAGCCCTGAGTCCAGCCCTGGAGGGATAGCTGAAGATTTTCAGAAAATTGCTCAAACATACTTTCATGTGACTGCCGAGTGCATCAATATGGAACAGACGGAGAAGCTGCGTCGTCACGTAAGCGAACAGATATTGGCCGCTGTTGGAGGCGGCAACTGGCAATCGACTCTTGTAGATAGTGGTCATGCGGCCAAGCTGCTGCTCTTGCTGGCGGCGAACCTCCAAAGCAAGTGGTTTCTTCCCTTTAGTGCATACCGTACGGGTCTCTACGAGTTCCACAGCAACAAAGGCGAAACATCAAAGTCGGTGGCCATGCTGTTCGACGACGATATGTTTGTGAAGTACGCGGAGCTGAGGGAACTGAACGCCCGCGCCATTGAGCTTCCCTACGAGCACGCTGAAGAATTGTCCATGCTGCTAATCCTGCCCAACCAACGCGAGGGACTCGCGAAACTGGAAAGCCAGCTGCGCGGAATCGATCTGGGCGCATTGCAGCAGTGCATGCAAATGGAGGGAGTGCAGGTGCTGCTGCCTAAATTTAGTATCGATTTCGAGTGCAGCTTGCGGCAGCCCTTGAAGCAGGTCAGTAGAATGGGAATAATCTGCCTACTTCAGGTTATGCGCGGACATTTATATGCGATGAGAACATTTAAAAATTCAATTTATTTATAGCTCGGTTTTGAAGAGATCTTTTCGGCATCGGCGAACTTTAAGCATGTGCATCCCTCCGGAAATCTGCCCGTAGCCGACGTTCTCCAAAAGTTGCGGATTAACCTAAATGAGTCTGGTTCTGGATCGGAACCACCCAGAGCCGCGGCAGGTATGTACAATATATACTCCCCACAAGCTTCCAACTTATGGCATCCCATCCCGTTTTCTTTTTCGTCAGAGTATAAACCCATTGTGATCAGCAATTCCTCCCGTCAAAAGTTCTTTCGGGCCGACCATCCATTTTTCTTTGCCATACGCAGTGAGAATGTCACCTACTTGATGGGACACGTGGTAGAGTTTTAGAGCCCTGCGATGATCGTGCAGATATGTAGAAGGTTTGTGCAATAAGCTCCTAAAAATTAAATTACAACTAATCTTTAATAAACATGTAAAACAGTGTAGTTTTTGTTGGTTTTGTTGATTTCCTGGTGGTAAATATTCCTACTTGGTGATGGTTGTAGAACAGTAAACATTAGTGGCGGTGTGTGGTTAATGTGAAGTATTTTTGTCGACCCAATACACTACATTGATACTGTACGTTTACTCGGGGATCCAGTTGGGCTCTAAGCATTTCAGCACGATTCGTGATGTAATTATCCTTCCCGGAGAACAAAACCAATTGGTCATTTTGTAACGATGGTAGAGTTCGGTAAGTCGCTTAAGGAATCGTAAAGTATAAATCAGTATTTCTAACGTAAGATTTCTTTCACAGGTTTCTGATATTTTTTCCACTTCATAGACTATCGCGGAGTCACCCAAAAGGCAACCAAAGCCAAGTAAGTACTACTATGATTTGAATAACATATAGATGACTCCTTACCTTGCCCAATTCATATTTGAAAAGAAAATCATACTCGCTTTGGTTTTTTCATAGTTTTTCTAACAAGAGTCTTGAGTTTATTTAAAGATATATCTGTATAATTAATTTTGTTGCAGAAATAGTCCTGTTATTCTTATTAGTATTACAATTATTGTATTTTGTAAGTTTTCATATCTTAATTGGGCTTTATTTTGTGTTAAGACTAGGAAAATTTTAAATGGAATCAAAAACTTGTTCACACTTCAGTGTTCTCGCTCTTTAATTTATCGCTTTCATATTGTTATGTTTAGTACCCTTTTGTAAATCTAGCTAAAAAGTTACCTCTTGTTTAAATTCTCTCAGTTGGTTTTAATATGCGATGTCGCTTAGTTAATTTTTGTAATCTTAATATGAATCTAGTTATGCTTGATGTCGAAATCACTCGAAATGATATTTTTCCAATTATGAGAACCTAGCATACCATATTATTCTCCGACAGAGAGATACACTCGTATAATGGGGCTAAACTGTGAGTTGGATTCAGATTGTTATCATAGTTCTCCATCCGTCACGTGTCAGCTTTTAAACTACTCAACAACTTTCAGTTAATGTTAGTTAATGCATAAAAACAGAAATATTCACAGAGCTTTCTACTTTAGGCTTGTCTAGTCCATTTATTTACACTTATTTACACCTGATATTCAAAATCGAAGCCTCGTAAATGCATCTTAGTGTACTAGTACTAGTATAGGCAAAATAGAATAAATGTGTCGGCTTAGTGCCGCTCACTTTGCTGTTGTTGATTCAGTTTTTCAGTGTGTCGTCAGTGGGCGCATGCTGGGGGGGCGATGGCTCTGGCCCACCTCCTTCTCCGTTCTCCAAATTTCCCCTATTTAGTAAATAGTCGAGGTCCAGGGTGATGCGATCTAGCGTGGCATCATTGCCATCAGCACCACTGCCACTGCCACTGCCACATCCTACTTCGCCACTTTGCGTAGATGTAGGAATTGCAGCCGCCGTCGCAGTGCTGGTGACGGTGGAAGTTGAGACCACTGCTGCCACCATTGTGGGTAGCAGAGGGTCGAAGGTCGTCCTTGACGTGGGCTCCAGAATGGTCACCCGCTTCTGCGTCTTGGGGTTTGGTGTGGGCAACGACATCGAGAGTGTGGCGCTGGACATCCCGGCACCGCTCAGGTTGCCACTTATGGTCGGCGGTGGTGGCAACTGGGGCGCTGGCAAGCTGAGTATCAGTGAGCTGGGCACAAAATCTACATATGGATTATGTTGCAGCGGAACGTAATGAGAAGCGGACGTGGCCGAGGGCATTATGGCGCTGGTGTGAATTCCAATTATGCTATCTGCAAGGAGATTTACAATGGTCATCGGAGCGAATATCATTTTCAATGCACTCCCATTTGCATTTGTAATTTCACTTCTTCGATTGGGACTGGGGTAGTTTCTGTTTTCGTACGGGTTTACCTACCTGCTGCTACGCCTTGGAGTATATCCAGTGTCTCGACACCCACAAAGTCCCCGTATGGTCCCGAACGGAAATGAGTTGGTTGCTGATGCAATGTACGCCTTCCAAGGCTCCCTGTAAGTCCCCCCATCCCCATGCTCATCGTGTATGCATCGTATGCGTTTCCTCCACTAAGTAGGGCGCAGCAGCGTGTGTCCGGCGAAGGTGCAACAGTCAGGGGCAGCGTTTGGCGGTCACCGAGGAAGGTCTTCGTCGAGCTGCCAATTGCCACAGAAGCCGGAGTTGCTGCCTGGCAACGCGGCGCCGTGGAAATGATTGTCAACGGCAGCTGAACGCCAGTTCCATTTGCTCCGGACAGCTCCAGTCCCACCTTTGATTGCAGGGGCGGGGCGCTCGCTCCAGATGAAGATGCCTGCGATGCCTCCGCAGCCGTTACTCCTGCATTTGACATTGACAATGATACCGCACATTCGTTCTCCTTCTCTTTGTCATGGTTGGTGTAGACTGTAAAAGGATTTGGATTCGGGTTAGGCATTGAACCAGTCTAGTTCTCATGGCGACAACCTACAGCTTAATGGACTGTTGACGTTAGCCGTTGCAGTGCAGTAGTTATCGTCCAGGCTGCTCTTACTCGTGTTGAACTTTGTCTGCTTTAACGAGCTGTTCTGACTGCTACCGTTGCTGCTCAGGAACGGGGGCCCCCGCAGCTGGCTCTCAGCCTTGATGACAAAACAAAAGAGGATTCCGAAGCCCTGCAAATGGAGCGGTTTGAGTAATGGCAGTGATTGTACGTACGCACATACAATATACAATTTCTCTTAGGGTCTGGGTAGAGCCTAATAAAATTCGTGTGTCAACCATATGGGGCTTATCAAGACGATTGAGTCGTTAAGTATCGGAAGCCACTTCAATTAAAGGGACCCTCAGAGTGCCCCAACATGACTCCCAACATGAAAATCGAAGCAACCGATTAGGAAATTGAATGCATGACCAAAAGGCAACCATAAATCGATGGTGTAACATATGGAACTGACCAGAGCACTACAGCCATTGTTGTGTCTTTTCCCGAGGGCGGAATTTATGGGAGACAGACACCGAATACCACGCCGGGATTTTCGACCAGAATTAATTGCGAAATTAGCGAAGGAGTCGTCCCTCCGGCCTGGGCTCGATACTCGTATGCCAAACATTTCTTATGGTATGGACTTCCCTTCCATGTACCGGAAAGAATCCTGAGCCTTTTAATGTCTGCTTTAGTCCTTGCTTAAATAATTAAACAGAAACGCAGACAGAGCCAACAGAGGCCTACGGAGGCCTACAGAGGCCTACGCCCACAATCAAAGTGATTTTGGTGCACATTAATAGTCCAGACCACTGGCACGGAGAGGGTTGTAGACATTGCGGTTTCGATTCAAGAAGGGGCTCGACCTAATTTGTTTGTATTTGAATTTGAATGTGCCGAATGCGCCCCACATGCCGACTCACTTGCCGGCTGCCCACATCCCCACATCCCCACATCAAAGTGTGTGCGTGTAATTATGTGATTAGTTTTGCAAGGATACACCTACCCAATGCCTTGGCTTGTGTAGATAATTGTTTATTTAATTGAATTGTGAGCTGATTGTGGGGCGTGCGTAGAGCGTTAAATGCGTTTAATTCAGTTGTGGCAGAAGAATGATACAAATAAGTGCCGGCAAAAGCCAAAGCAAAAGCAAAAGCAGTGGTCTCCTCGGTAAGCTTCTTCCTCAATGAATCCAAAAACTTGTGTGCATTGTATCTTTGGAACTTGGAACTTGGCTCGTCCGAGCCGAGCAGAAGTTGCCGCTTGAGTGGCAAGGTGCAAAAGTGAAGCGCACTTATTTCATTTGCACAGCAAATCAACGAGCAGAGGAGTAAAAAGAAAACAATAACAGCTTGAGGAGGAGCTCGAGGAGGCGGAAACCAGAGCCAAGTGTCAAAGGCAAGTGCAAAATAAACACAAAAAGGCTTCTTCCGGTACTTTGATCTGGCTGCTAATGCAGTCTGCGCGAGCAGTTTGCTCCGCGCGTGGTTTTCCGTGCTCACGCCCTCCGTTGTTTTTGCATGCATAATTTCACCGTCACCTGTAAGTGTATGCAGGCTCTACACTTTGATGAAATATGCAAGTTTAATAAGACGTTGAAAATAAAAAGGAAACCGGATTTGCATAAGACCCCACGGAACCCCAGCCCGAACCCCAATAGTTTCGGTGACACACGGTGGCAGCTGTCTCGAAGGATGGACTCAAATTGAACTTCCGACCAGTAAGCCAAACGGCTACGAATATTCGGGCACTAAGCCCCTTAACGCTCAACGCATGTGTACTGTTCTCTGGACTTACCAATATTATACACGATATGCCGAACGGATATGCCCACAGAGTATCCGGTAATGAATTAACATAAACGATGAAGAACCCATCGGTGCATAGCTTAACCAGTAGCAGTCCTCCTGCCCTGTAAAGTAGGCCAAGTCTGTCGGAATACGTTGGAATAGATTAAGAAAATGACGATAATATTAAGCACCGATTGTTGCGGGCAGTGATTATTCAGCTTAGATTAGCGCAGACCACAATATGAAGTCGCTTCGAGGGCGGGGAGGGAGGCTGGGTTTTGTAAACTTTCCATCATGATTATTTTTAAAGTCCTGCCCCATTCTCATTCCGTTTTATCTGTATTCTAGTTTTCTTCGACTTACCGCCTTTGGAGAGCCAGATTGAATTTATCCAACGGATGCGTATGCACATTGCGATTCTTGTGCCACAACCACAAAAGTTTCTTCATTAAAATGGCAAACAGAGCAAAGAAAAGAAAAATGAAAAGAAAATCGATGCAAACGAACAGGATGAAGCTCAGAGAAGGCGACAACGGCGTCGATGCCGCTCCGTTCAGGTCGGAAGTTAGAGCCGCGGCCTGAAATCCGTAGCCTGAAGTGCTCGAAGAGGAGGTGGTGCGGCTCCAAGTGGCTGGCATATGCTGTTGTTGCTGTGGCCAAGTCGAGGCCGCAGCTACTTCGACTGCCATGCTGCTGTCACTGCTGGAGCCAGTGCTGTTGCCAGTGTTGCCACTGCCGGCTGTGATTGATGACGTTGACGTGGCCACATCATCGCCCAGCCCAATTGATGATGTCTCAGCTGGAGAGCTCGTTGCATTTCCCAGCAGCGCTTCCGATTCCAGTCGTAAATTATCGCCATTGAGGAGCGAATGCGTTGAATAGTAGACGCCATCAAACTCCGTTGGTTCGGCATCGGACTTGCTGACAGAGTCATCCGAAGAAGACACAGTGGACAGAATATCTAGCCACCAATGGCGCGGCCACTTGCCAATGATGCTGCAGATTAGTGGGGCGGCAACTGCGAAGAGGAGCGGCAGCAGCCAGCTAATGCCAATGGCGCCACGTATACCCGCCGCTCCGCCCTGCAGAGACGAATTGTTGTTCACCGAAAGAGGCCTGCGATTGTTGCCAGAGCTTGTGGTGGCCCCCACCGCAGCCCCCACCGGCAACTGGGCGCGAATTTGGGTAATGTTGCTTAAACTCTCGCGCTCGCGGCGTCTTATGTCCTGCTTGGTGGGCGTCGCCGGCTTGCTGCCGGCAGATATCTGCAGATATTTCTTGGGCATCAGCTCCGTGTGTATGACCAAAGCAATCGCAATCAGCGTTGAGACGCCCAGCAACAACAGCGATGCCAGCGAGCTGCTAATGATGGCGTGCCAGTTCTGCAAAGAGGAAATTATTAGAGACCAGACCGTTAATAAGGAAATGGAGTACTTTGGCGGGTGAGTTGCAACATCGTTATTTTTAATTAAATACAAGAAGTTGTCATCGCGCCGCAGCGCATCACCGCATCACCGGCAGCCAGCCAGCAAAATAAGTTATTTGGTCGTAATATTTTTTACAACTCAAACGATGACATCTCGGCATAAACTTCTTTATTACACCCGCCTCTTCACCTAATAGACTCGGCCTCGCCAAGGCGGAACATTAGTTATTAAAAAGTTGTAAACAATTTTGGGATTTGTATATTTTTTGTAGCTCCCCATTAGGGTCCCCAAAAGTCCTGGTGCACAGACCACTCTACTTAAAGGACGCTTTTCAGTGGGTATAATTTCTGTCGCGGCTTTAAGAAGCATTTTTTATCTGCGTCACACGGGTGACTAGAGCCCGTGGAGCCGAGGTCGGCACGGAATTACTATATTGCCTGGTATTCCGATCCGCATAGCCTTCGGGGAAAAGTGAAACAAATTTTGTCAGCTTTTTAATTTTCAATTTACAATACGAATACTTCCACCTCGTCGCTTCACCGCGGAATATTATGAGTTAAGTGCGCTTAAAAGCTTTTGCCTTTCATATGTTGTGCTGCTGCTGCTGCTGCAGTGGCACGACCCGTGCTCCGTGCTTCATGCCTCACGCCCCTGCCTTGAGGGAGGGCGCGGCGACGAGTCGTATACGTAATTTATGTTTTCTTATTTATTTATTGTTTTTTTTTTTTCGTTCCGTTTAACTGTCGTCCTGAAATTGTATTTTATTTATGCACGCAAATATATACAATAAGTAAAATGAATATTTTAATTGTATTTATTGTGGCATTGCGTGGGCGTGAGTGTGGGCATGGGCGTGTTCGGGTGCGCGTGCGGGTGCATGGTCTGGTTGCTGTGGTTGACGGCCGTCGCCGATGGCAGCTTGGCCTGCCTCCTCCGCTGTGCTGTGACACGTGTTCCAAACCATAAAATTTGCATGTGTGCACATGATTGTGCTTTACTTTTTAATAAAGTTGGCTTGCCCTGCCCTGCTCCGCCCCGCACCGCCCCGCCCCGCCCCACCCGCCTGTGCGCGCAATTAATGTGCAATAATAATAATAAGTGCGTGCGTCTCGTTTTATTAAGACAAAGTTTCCCTTTGGCGTTTTTCCGCGCCTGGCCCTGCCCTGCCCTGCCTGAAACTCAATCGCATTGTGCAACACCTCCTAGTGGCTGTCAGTCTCCGTGACGTAAGTTGCTCATTAGACCGCTGTGGCAAGGTGGGAGCGCCCATAATTGCATAACTCGTACGAATATGCGACGTTATTCTTAGCGACAACTCAACCCGAATTGTGTCTATCCCAGATTCTACCGTCTTGGTCTTGGCTTCGGCCTGGATGCCAGCACAACAGCCAGGAATGCTGCATACGTCAGTGGCACAAAGGCTTGCCGTATTCAAAGCTACCGCCATTCAAAGAACCCAATTCTGCGTAAGGCCAAAAACATCTATGTAGAGGCAAACATATCACTCTTCCATTTGCTGCATGGACGGATTCAAAGGCATCTTTGTCCCTAGAATACGTCCTGTCGTTTGCCTTTGTCAGCTTTTTGCGGACTAGGTTGGAGTTGTGAGTTGCTCCCCCAACTCCTCCCTCGTTTTCGTTTTCATTTTCCATTTCCATTGCTTAAACCTTTTCGCATTGCGTTTTCGTTTCCCTTGCTGGCGTTGTGTCTGTATCTGTATCTGTATCTGCTGGCTGACTCTTCCTTTGTTGTCCCTCCGTTGTCGCACACAATGTTTTATTTGTTTTTCATCCATTTATTGAGCCGTTGTTTTCGCAGCGGACCAGTTTATTACTAATTCAAAAATGTTATTTCTTGTTAGAGCTCCGCAGTTACTGCTTTCGCAGAGCGTCTCAAGACCCCCTGGGATTAAGTAGCGCAACTTTATTCGCTTATGCTTTTTACGTTTATAATTTAGGTGGTTTTTCGGGTTCTTCGGGGACTTCCACAGATTCTTGCAATGTTTCGGGGTTTCGGGGCTAAGCCCAAAGCTCTTGCTTTGGAATTTTACATTGCATTTACTGGTACTCGCATCCCTTCTACTCTCTTCTGAAGCCGTTTTTCCATTAACATTTCCACCCGCTTCAAACGTTTGGGAATGTGCGTTTATAAATATTAATTTCGATTCTAGTTAGTTCCTCCAGGCAACCCACACCTGCTCCTCTGAGCTCTCAGCTCCCAGCTCTGAGCTCTGAGCTGGTCGTTGAGCATTGTTGACTTTTAATTTCCATCCAAGCAGCTCCCCAGCCAAAAGGTATGGGAATTGTTTTCCATGAATTTTCCGTTTGGCTGCCACACAAACTAAATGTAAATTATTTGCCTTGCTCTCCGCCGTATTACTGACTTGGTCAAAGACTTGCCAGACGACACACTAATTTGTTTTGATGATGATTAGAGGTGCTCCTCTCTGCTCCGCCTCTCCGTGATTATTATTTGAAAAGTCGAGCCCGATTGTGTCTGAAAATCGGTCGGCAACTGGCGATGTTACGGATAAGTTCGCACTGCAAATAATTATTATTTAAGGGTTTGGTTAGGTGGTTAATGCCGATGGGAATTCTTTCTTCTTTAAGGAGGGAAACTCATTTGTATTTCGATTGCCTTGTGCCGTTCCCTTCCACGTCTTGGAAGGCACGCACTGCCTCCCTTTTATTCCTTTTTATTTTATGCAACACTTTTTATTATTATACTGTTTTCCCCTCCACTCTCCTCTCTCCACTCTCCACTTCTTTTTCGTTCTGGGTTGTATATTTGGTTTTGGTTTTTGGGTTGCTTTGCTTTCAGCTTGGCTTTCCTCCACTTTATTTGTTTATTTATTTTGGCGTAATTAAATTTCACGCTTTGGTTCTCTTCTCCCATTGCAAACACTCGAAAGGCTTTGTTTTAAAGGGTCAATGGTAGCAATGGTAAATGCATTAAAGAGTGCACACGCAAAGGAATTCTCAAGAGGATCAGAGAAAGAGCTAAAGCCCTCGTTAGAGAAAGCACAGAAAGTAGAGAAAACAGAGAATACTCACCACTGGCAGCATTTTCATGAAGCCCAGCACATAAATGAGCATCACGCTCGATGTTGAGATGCAGAACTGGATTTTGAGGAAGGTAATGGCGCACTTGCGATTGCACCAGATGGGCACCAGAATGAGGAGCGCCGAGCCGCACTGGAGGAGACAGCAGGCGCAGCTGGCGATCACGAAGATTGGCCGCTGCGGGGCATGCGACTGCGTGGTCTGCGAATGAAATTGAGAAAACAATTAGCAATTCAAATTAGCATCAGAATTAAGACCGGCTGCTTGCCGACTGCTGGCCAACTGCTGGCAGCTATGGCTTAAATAATTGTGCGCCTTGGAGACTCTCGACAACAATTAAGAGCATACAATTTAAAGAATTGCCAAAGCGGATGCAGGCATCGCCAAACGAACGAAGGAACGGAGGTCGGAAAGCAGAGTGCATTTGGAGCAAGTTCATGGCACCAAAGGCCAAGTTGTTGATTGCGACCAAAGGAAGCGGAAATGCGGACGTTGGCTGCACAAAGAAATAAAGCTCGGCTCGGTCCGGGCCGGGCCGGGCCGGCTCCCAGGTGGAGTGTGGGGTGTGGGGTGGGGGGTGCGGAGCAAGGCCATAAGCGGGCGTTCGTTCGGTCACTAAATGGCAGGTCCTAAAAGTGCCACAAATCAAAAGGAGCTTTCCACTTTAGTACACGTGAATTGCATGAATTGGATAACTAAATGGAGGCCGCAGCGGGGCGTGGCATAAATTAATAAATGTGTGGCCTTGGCGACCTTGGAGTCCCGGGCTTACGTTTTGCTGGCGCTTGGTTAACATCACCACATAGGTTCCAGAGAGCGGGCAAATGCAGCGCGTTATGTTGGCCATCAGGTGCTTGGTGATGCACAAGTCCGATCGCCAAGTAGACTCGAACGAGGCCTTGTAGTCGTGTCTGCACAGAAAATGGAAGATTTAGTGGCTTGTAAATTGGGGGGATCTCGCCCAGTGCTTACCCACACACGGCCACCCAATCGCCGGCCTTGGGCACACTCTCGTGCTGGAAAATGATCTCCACGTGGCCCGACTCGAAGGGCAAGTCGAGGGGCTCTCGAAAGTTGTCGTTGGAGCGATTGGACTGAAACAGCCAGGTCTGGATAATCCGTGAGGCCAGCACATAGTCCGAGTCCCTGGGATCGCTAGGAGTTGGTGGGAAATGTAGAGTGCATTAAATCTTAAAAGTAGTTTAACAAATATGTAGTTTAAATTAGAGCTTGTGCACATCTTTTATGCAAGAGTATGCACAACATCTATGGATGGGAATTCTATTAGCATCTCCTGTTCTACTGAAAACATTCTTTTGTCTCCTTATCATCGCTGTGTTTGTGTGTGCAGTTCCATATTTGCATTTTGTTTACGGCTTTAGAATTACAGTCTGCTCCAGCATGGGATGTCGTTGTCGTTGGTTGTCGTTGTCCTCGCAGGCAGGCTTCTGTGCTTCTTTCCAGCAAAGAGTAATACGCTTAAGCCAAAGAAAGCCATATTGTTGCTTGTTGCTTGTTGCAATGCTGCACGAGAGTGACGGCTGTTGGAATTACACATATTTGAGGGGCAAGGCAAACGTTGGCTTACAAATTATATATTGGTGCCCATAAGCTGCGACTTATGTATATACATATGTATATATGTATCTGTCATACTCCTGCACGTCGGCACCTCAAATAACTACATTGAATTGTGGAATGTGGGAGATGCATAACGCCAAAGCACAGGCAGGAGGACGTTTCTCTGGTCTAGGCATTTCCCAATGGGTCCTCTTCGTCTCCTTCTTTTAAACTCCTACTAATCTCATTTAAATTTTTGGTATTCACTGCCTCTTGCACACAGAACTTCTTTGAACTTCCAGCAGAACTGCTGCCTCGAACTAATTATAAAGCGCAATGATGACCACTGAAGATAACTTTCACTCGCAATCAAGGCAACGGCGGCCCAGGGACTGGGTGGCTGGGGGGCTGGGGGACTGGGGGCTTGTTTAACTTACCTTCCTCTGGTGTAGTAGGTTTTGGGGAGGAAACTTTTCAAGTTCTTGTAGGAGATCACAGAGGCGAATATTGTCGAGTTGGCCATGATGTGGAGCAGGCGGCTGGATAGCCCGATATCCATATAGAGTTGATCCGAGAACAGGTCCTCGCTGCAAGAGAAAGTGCACGAGTGGCAGTAAATCAAGCAAATTGTAGTCACCTGCACTTAAGTCGCTTAATTAGCTAAATTAGACACTTGGCAGCCAGGAGTGTGGCCAGAAGGAAGCCAGCAAGATTGAAATACTGGGCCGGGACGAGGGAGAGGGCAAGGACGAGGGCAAGGACGAGGTCCTCGGTGCAAGTTTTCCTGGGAAAATACTCGCAGCGTTAAACTTTTATGAGCCATTCTTCATGCTCAGCCCTCGGTTGCTTTATGCATTTATTATTTATGTTTGCTCATAAAATAAATTTTCCATTAAGAGCGAAGGCAATGGGAAATCGTTTTCCTTCGTCGCGTATATTAATCAAGCGGCCGTAAAATGAAGTTCCCTGTTTGCTTGAAAAGCAGGAATTTGCATTTTCACTCATTCTTAATGAGAACTTATTGCAAGCTGCCCCAAACTCCCAAGAACCTCAGTCTACGGTCTGATTTCACGTGAAAGTGTCTACTTTTTGGCGCGTATTTGGTATTGCAACTTACCCATAAATTCGCAAATTAAAGGGCAGGGTCTTCACTGATGTCATGTAAATCCGCAGCGAGTTGAGTCGATCCAGTGACAGCGTGTCCTCATCGACTGTCAGAATGCTGGGGGCTCCTGCTCTGGCGTCGCCTTCCCCACCACCACCGGAGCGAGTCGCCTGCAAATTTCCCGCAGATCCGGCAGATATGTCGCCCACCGTTGCCACCGAGCCACTGCTGTCATCGCCCCGGGCGTTTCCCTGTGCGGTCAGCGTCGTCGAGCTGTCAGCTGGCGATGGCTGGCTGCTGCCGCTTGTCGATGTGGCCAATTGTGAGGCCGCAATTGTCTCGCGGTTCAGCGCCGCTGATTGCGTTAACAGCTGCAGTTTTTTAATTTGCTGAAAGGAAAAGATTCACGCAAAAGCTAAATTGTATGCTGCGAGGCCAGAGCTCTGTGTGCTGAAAGGAAGGATAGACAGATGGATGGCAAGCTTTAGAGTCCCTGTTTTGAGGCCAGTTCAAATTGTATTGAGTCCGGCGCTGAACTTTGCCAAAACATACAAAAATCAATGGCACAGAGAGTGGCCCAACTCTCGGAGTTCGGCATTCGGCATTCTGGAAAATGTTCATGTTGCCAACAGGCAGGCAATATAAAAACGCAGTCAATGAACCCTCCCATAAAAATCATAAATTGTTACATTCTCGAGTGCAGTTACAAAGCCATAAACCGAGGCCAATAAGCGGAACCCCACTACATCAACCGACATCAACTTTGGTTGGAACGAGCCATTGAACGCTGCGTTCGATTTTTGTTGCTTTTGCAAACTTGTAATGCGAAACCCATTATTGCGGCAGTTCTTCTTTTTGTTTGTGTACGAGTATAGAGATTCCCGATTTATAATGCAGGTCCGAGCACGGCTCCCAGTACAGATTTGTGTGCCCTGAAAGGGTTAAGGAGTCGACTTTCCTGTGCAAATCAAAAAATAACACGAAAATAAAATGAAATATGTGTTCGAGTACGAGTACGAGGAGGAGTATATAAGATACAGATACAAGCATATGTATGAACATAAATGTTCGAGGCAACTAATCGAAAACGAAAACAATTCCAATTGGAAAAGTTTCTGTAATGGAACTTTTCGAAACAAAAATCTAAAACTTCAGCATCATCAGGGCGAGATTAAGCTTGGAAGGGGGAAGGGGTAGGGGCCACGCCCATTTGCCTATTCAAATTTTGTGGCATTCGTATGATTTCTTTAAAAGGCGTTGAAAAGAAACAGCAGCAGAAAAGCTCCGCAAAAGTTTTGCATGTGCAAATTTCACTTGACTTTCGACCTAGCCACGTTTAGCAGTTTACCGGCAAATCATTTGGGCGCCTCCGACAGGATGGTCTAGATGGGCGTGGCCGTTGGCGCTGCACATGTGAGAAGCCGAAACTTTTTCTTCAGATCGAAAAGTTTAGCTGTGACTTTCGGCTGGGTTTGGGTCGGGGTTCGGGTCACGTTTCCAGCGAATACTTTTTGCTAAGTGATTCGTCGTGATTTGATTTGAATTCGAAGCGCCCCCTTTCCCCTACCTTTCCTCCCGTTTCCCCCCCCCCCCCCCCCCTGATCCAAAGTACGAGTAGTTGTCCCGAAGTAGGTCAGTTAACTTGGCTTACCATTCGATTCGGTTGGTCAATACGGTTGGTCAAACTTATGCAAATCTAAGCTTATATCCATACAAGTGTTTTAATCAACTTTTCGCTTAAATTTTCAAATGCCATTCAAAAATGAGCAAAACTTTTCCAATTGCCCTTTCCACAAAAATTCGCCAAAAAAAAAACTCTTAAAAGCAGATGCCCCCATTCCAACCGTTCTGATAACTATGACATTCAGGGAAAACAAAAAAAAAATAAAAATTAAAATTGGATTTAAGCAAATGAAATGCCATCATAAAATTTTTGCATTCTGGATTATTACTATCATCGGCATATTGATGGGGCTTATTCCGCATCGTTCGTAGTGCAAAGTCGGCGCGAAAATGAAAATTGTTTTCGAATACGGTACACGGTAAACAAAATTAATTGAATTGGCTTAAAATTATTTTGATAGATTTTATTTGTATGGATTTTTATCCACCAATAGGTGCGATCGGATTGCTGAAAGCTTCTCCTGTGGAAAACTCTCGAATTGGTTTAAGCCGCCAGTAAATGTAAATACATACTCGTACAGGCCATGGCTATTTACTTTCGAGGGATGCACCTTCCATGCACTAATTAAACTTGATTGCGCGCGAAAAATTCGATGAACTTTCTGGGGATTCGACTCAGTACATTAAACTTTTTGCTCAGTCAATAAAAACAATGCGAACTATTTGTTCAACTTCGAAAAAGTTCGCCGAATGCCAACACTTTTTAATCGACCCAATTATGCTGCCAAGTTTTTCCGACTGCGTCAGCTAATAAAAATTTAACATAAATTGTTCTTTCGCGGGTTCTTTCGTTTTTCTGGCTCACGTGGCCCGTTATATTGAAATGCCATAACTCAACGGAGCTCGGCCAGAACTAAATTAATTTATATGCATTAAAAACTTTCCCTTTCCCGGTCCATCTATTCCTTCTCTACGCTCTCCAGTACAGAAGACGGCCCCAAACAAAACTTGTTTAATTTCCGCGTGCGCGCCGATCGTAAAAGATGAATGTTGCAGGGCTGCTAAGACACCGCTATCCGGAGCAGTCGGCTAATAGATTATGCTGGAGGTGTCTATAAGCCAACAAGTTTGAGGAGCGAGCCCCGTCCTTGGGCTCCCTTGAAAGGGCAGGGGGGAGACCCTGCCAATTATCCTCACTTCTCGACAGGCTCTGAGAGCAGAGTGGGTCGTATTCAAACAGTTGCAATCAACACTCTCATAAATTTGCATACCAAAATTTCAGCCTTATCCTGGCGGGGAGCCTAAAAAGAAGCAGGTTCTTTCTTTTACTTTTATGCCGCACTTCGTATATACGAAATTTTCCCATGGAATAATACATGAGGCACTCGACCCGCCTTGGCCCCTTCCCCCCTTCCCACCTTCCGTACTTAAAAGCCTCCTTTGAGCCGGTAACAATGGCCGTCTTAGAGTAACCACAACCACCAGAGCGGGTGGGGTTTGGGGAGGGGTGATATAAAAGGACATCACACCAAGACACACCAAACACACCAGACACACCAGACACCGGGCTGTTTTAAAAAAGTAACGAAACGCACTTTTAGCCAGCATTTCGAGCCTCGAGATTGGCCAAAATGCTGCTCTCTTTTTCTCGAGGTGATAAGGAAGCGGTTAGTGGTTATCCTTATTGTTCTGCGACAAAGGTAGGCGGTTGTAGACTTTTCGTTTGCGGTGCGCGGAGGGTCGCGTAAACTGTTTGATTGCCGCTCATTAGCAGCACATTTGAAACTTAACTGAGCGTCGCTCACGGGTTAGTAATGTTTGGCGGCTAACAGGCGACGCGGGACCAGCTTCTATTAGCCATTCTGCCAAATGGTGCGTAAATATGCTTACCGCTTGGAGGTCCTAGGCTGTGAAGGCTGGGGTAGGGGTAGGGGTAGGGGGTTAAACGAAATGGGGACTAAAGTTTGACTGAACTTCTTTGATGTTTGCTAGGTTTTGGCAAGATTTCCCAGATAACCAATTACCGCTGCAGTCAACTTTCATCGTATGAGTATGAGTGAAACACCAATTCATCGCCAACAGAGTCCCATATTTTACCTTTCGCATGGCCTTTGGTCGCAATCAGCAACCAGAAACCACAGACAAACCCGAAATTCCTCAACATCGTACATATCAAAAAAGGTATTCATTACCAGCCAGCAGGACATCAATTCTCTGGCTGTTTAGAAATCCGAGCACGGATTGGGGGAGACAAATGTTTGGATGTAAATTGCTGCCCAGTGACAGACCAACTACAGGCTGAATAAAAGTGGCACTGAAATTCGAATGTGGCTCCCATCGCCTACGGTGCGGTGCGGTTCAGTTCGGTTCTGTTCGACTATTGAGAGTGTGTGTAATAAATCCTGGGCAGGGTCTGAAACCAGCCAGGCAAATATTGAATATGGCTGCAGGTTATAAATTATGGCGCCCAAAAGCCCGACCGACCGACCGACGGACCGGTCGCTCCTCCATATACTCCACATATAGTCGCTCGTAATTTATGCGCAATTGCAGCCAAAGTGCCTCGGCTCTTGGCTCTTGGCTCTTGCCGCTTGCCACTTGCCGCTTGCCACTTACCTGTTGACTGTTCAAGGATTGAGCATTCTGCATGACTTTATCCAGAATGCGCAGTATAATCTCCGCGGCCATCTCACGCTCTAGTTGGGTGCCTTTCAGTTGCAAGTAGGTGTCGAGCTGTGAAATGGGGAAGGAACCAAAGTTTAGACAACACAGTACAACAGTCCTGTTCCTCATCCTGCTGCTGCTCCTGCTCCCCCAGCGCACAAAAAGGACGAGCACCTTCTTAGGACTCTTCTTCGTCTTGGCAATTCGTTAGGAGGGAAATTTGTGTGCGCATTAAAATGAAAAATTGTTGCTAGGCGACCCTAAAGACGAACAGCCCGACAAGAACTTTTCTTTGACTGCAGTTGGGCAACCGAAAATTGTGTGAAAAATGGCAAGCCGCCCGGCTCAGCGGCTTTTACATTCATTTGCGTGTAAAAATAGTTGCCCAGGCCTCTGCTCTTGTAAAGAGCAAGAAATACTTTGGTCTGGTTCCCTCTCAAGTGGTTGGCTCTACCTGGATACAGACATTTTGGGCCCTCCGACCGGGCTGTGGCTTGAATGTGTTAAGGGCTTTGCGGAAAGCAGATAGCAGACAGTCCGGACAAACAGTTTAAAACTCAATTCGAAATTTCTCTTCCGAGACCTCCAGCAAAAGGAGGCTGTCGGGCCGTCGTGGGAATTACATTGAAAATTGATTCTGATTGCAGCCGTTTACCCTTGATTAGATCAATTTGGCCAAATATGCCAGAAATATGGCTTTTCATATTGTATAAATGTTCTTCCTTCTACTCCTTCTACTCCCTTTTCTCTGTTTTCCACTCACCTCGTGCAGCATGTCAATGAGGAAGCTTGCCTCGCCGGGCAGAAAGCTGTGGCGTCTCTGAATAGTATAGTCGAAGCAAGCTTTCAGTATATTCGAGGAATTTGTTTGCTGGAATCCAGCACTCAAGGCTCGATATCGGTTGTAGATGACCAGCAGCTCGTCGCGCACGCAGCCCGAGAAGTCCGGCAGCAGCCAGCTGGAGTTTCCCGTATCCCGCTGCTCGCAGACTCGACGCAGATGGCCCTCGAAGCCCCGCGGACAGTCTGTGATGATGGGTGCTCCTGGGGCGCTGGTGGGCCAGTGCACACCGTAGGTGGACTCCGCCGGACACACGTGCGCCGCATTGCGCTCAATGACGTTGATGTAGACGCTCTTGGACACTGGCCGCACACTGTTGGACACCAGGCAGGCGTACTCCGCGGACTTCTGTATGTTGTTGATCTTCAGGATGCTGCCGTCGGGGTAGAGATCCTCCCACATGGCAGTGGCTGTGTCCGACTGGAACAGCACCCCGTTTCGGGTCCAGCTGTAGCCCAGCTGGGCGTATCGCTTGATGTCATCGTTGCCGGGCGAGAGGCAGCGCACTCGCAGGGAGTCTCCTCGCTGCAACGTCACACTGGCGGGATCCACCCTCAGACGGGGCGGCGACTTGATGTGAATGTGCAGAGACCGGCACTGCTCTACGCCCCAGTCGGTGACCTGCAGATGGAAATGAGAGAATCGGGTTAGTCATGTTCATTGAACAAAGTCGAGTCCTCGACGGCCTGTCATCGGGCAACCATAATTCCATGACTTTGATTACTCCAAACAACATCATCAGGCATCAAGCGAGAGTCCGCTTCTAGCCCGACGTGCATTGATAGCCCTCAGACCAGACCAAGCGTCAACAGCCTTGTCGGAGTGCATTGCACACATCCTGTTGGCAGGCAGGCGAGCAGCCTCAAACCGACTGACAGACAGATTCTGCTGATGTCCTTTTCATGCATGTGTAAACTGGAGAAGAGCAGCATCTGATGCCAGCTCCAGCTCGAGTACGAGTGTGTCCCAAGATATGTTTAATAGACTTATTTACTAGTCAGCCAGACTTTATTGTGTGCTGATTGGACAGGACCAAATGTAATTGTGATTGTGCTTGGCTTGCTCTTTGACTTATGCACAGACAAACACACATCAATCGCCAGATCTGACTTCAACTTTAACTGATGCAGAAAATCACATTCAATCCACAGCCCGGAATTAAATATCTTATATTTAAGGGCAAGAAGGGAGCCAGCCCCTGCCTAACCACAAGGATTTGTATTGGTCACTCATGGGTCGAGTCCAACTGTGTCCAGGCCCGTCGTTGAGGACACTCCAAGTTACGTTACACACGAGCACGAGTATTTACGACTACTTGCATGGCCAAGAGTGGATGGCTACTTAAAGCCTTAGTGCCATGTGGGCAATACGCCATTTGAGCAAACCTTTTTCGTTTAAGTATTTCCACGCGGTCTGCAGTCCAACGAATTGTAAAATTCTGTTGTTGCACGTGCCTCCCGGGCAAGGGGGGAAACGGTGCTGAAGCGGGGGCTGAAGTAGAGGCATAGAGAAAATCATAGTCGTTACGACAACGACAAGGATGATGATGGGCATGAGGACACAATCGTCGGAATCGTCTCCCTGCCTGGCTACATCTTCAACAAACTTCCGTTTCAAATTTAAAATGAAATGAGACTACTAACGAACGGCGGCGTGTGGAGGCAGACCTCGGGTACTCGGGGTCGTCATTGTCGCCAATGTGAAGGTATTGCACTTGTCTGGATGGGCTTGTCTGTATCCCTGTCTGATATCCTTGTCTCCTTGGGCGCTTTGCTACAGCCGATCCGGAAATATTTAATATACAGCGAAATGCTCTCAATGCAAGTCGAGGGTGGGCAGCCTTTTTATCGTAATACGGCTTTAAAATTGTGTTGCAGCTTCCCAGAATCTGGGAAGCATTTGCTGGTTTGCTGGTGTTTCCGAGTCTCACAGTCATTTACGACTCCGCAACGTCGACAAATCTTTGCTAGCCACAAAATCCAAATGCCAATTAACTCATTTAGCTGCGACGTAGCCGGACTGCAAAACTCTTGGAATGAAACGAAGCGTTTTTATAGCCGAATGGCATTTATTGGCCCCGATCTGGGCGGGTGAAACTCATAGGACGCAGTCTAAGTCCAAGTCCAAGTCCAAGTCGTTAAACAACACATTGTACGGAGACGGAAAACCATTTGCCTGCCCACGCCCAGCCCACTCTCGATCTGAGGTTCATCAATGAACAGCACTCCAAGGAAATTAATAGTTCATAAAAATGGCTCTTGCCAAGCCAACAGAATTTATTATGTTAATGGATATTGACAACATTGAGGTTTAAGGACAGACCGCGCCCCAGCAAGGCATGGTTACCCGGTTGCTCCGGAGAGTGTTAGGTTTTTAATGACCAACTGTTCTGCAAGAAGTGCTAAGACTGAGGCTCCATTCTGAGATTATGGAAACATCAAGTGGTCTCCCTATTAGCAATCCTTTATCCAAAAGTACTTTCATCGACGGAGGAGCACTCTGAGCACACTAAGCCAAATCGTGCTCCGCAGAAGCTGAAACGGATTTAGAAGGAAACTTAATGCAGCGAACTTAAAGACAGCACCGCTTTGGTCCATTGTGCACGTAATGGACCCAAGACGACGCCGTTCCCTGAGGGAAATGAATTAATTGCAACAAGGCGTATACTTAATATCAATTCATAAATAATAAATGCGCAGAGGCATACTCCCCCGTTATAAATGTTAGTGTGTGTGTGCACAATGCGAGTAAATTACGGACAAGTTATGGACGTATACATGCAGTCCCCAGCGCCTAATGGGAAAAGGCACTGGCAGGCACTTTATTGACTTGGACCTTGAGGCAATGTTATTGAAAAGGATTCATGCTCTTCAGTTTTGAGTAAACAGCTGAGACGTGGGAACAATCGACCTTCAGGGACCGTGCCCCAAGCAACCAGCCAGTCAGCCACCCAGCCAGCCAGCCACCCAGCCAGCCATCCAGCCAGCCTTCTTGATTATCGTGCAGTGGTTCCAGCTGCCAAGCGCTTTGAATTGCTGCCACCAGCCCCCTCGACGCCATCCGCTTTGCCCAGCACTTCCTGCCTTTGATCTGGCCGCGTCATTACGAGGACCAGAGCGACAATAATAAGTGAGCGGGGGCAGGATGGGGCGCGGAGCGGCGCGCCAAAGACACAAAGCGGCAAAAGAATCGGCCACGGGAACGCTAAAAGTGTAGGGGAGCCGAGCCGCATAAAAACTTCACGAAATCCCCTTGGAGAGCTCGGACCAGGCACTAAACACAATGGCCTCCTCCATTCGCTGGCCCAAGAAAGCGACAGCCTGGTGGGCTGCAGCAGACAACAGATGCGTCTGCTTCTAACTGAGCGAATTTGCTTTTTGTTCTTGCAATCACAGACTTAAAGTGTTAAGAACGTTCGGCTTTAGTTGGATTCAACCACGTTTGGCAGGACACAAACCTATTATGCAAGGTCGAAGTACAACTCAGTTAGCAACGATTCCAGATTTGATTTATTCTTAACAAACGTACACATATTATTATGACCTTGCCAGCTCAAGCAATCAAATTACCATGTGATTTATGGCTGACTTCCGGAAGTATCCCAATATTGTATATGTTTGTACAGTATATAGAAATGTCTAGCGATGTCTATGCGTGCCACCGCAGAGCACCTTTTGTCCACGTGTTTGGCGAGGCAACTTTCTTTCGGAAACTTTTCACGTGTACGAGGTATTTTATGCTGCCAGGACAGTGCGGGCCAATATTTTTTTACAGGCCATTTGCGTAATATGTTATTACCCGAGCCATAAAGAAAGGACGGACCCACCGGGTTGCTGCCACAATGAGGGAAACGGTCGGAACTGGGCAGTTTAAGGTCTAATGGTCTGGAACAATTTAAAGCTCTTATTTAGTGGAGGCCTCCAAACGGAAGTAGATAGCCGAAAGAAACGTTTAGCCGCGTTAGGCTTAAAATCATCTTGGAGTGCCCACAAATTTATCCCGGCAGAGAGCAGTCAAAAGAATGTTTAATACCGTAGATTAAAATTTAATTGGCTGCTGAAGAAGACCATTCGACTGCGGTGGAAGCCGACAATCAACCCGGTATCTCTGGAATTTCCTCCATCCAGCACACTTTCCTATCTGCCTGGGCTACCATATTTTAATTAGTCTAATTAAAAGCTACGCTACAGCGAAAATGAAGAACAGAGTCGAGTGCAGAATGAACCAAAGCCTAATGTAATTATGTGGACTTTCGGAGGGTTTCCCAGGCAGATCTGCTCTCTGCGCAGACCGTGCGAGCACCGTCGGACGCACAGTTCTCTGAAGCTATGATATGGCAATTAGACTGATTAGTACTATGGAAAAATATCGGTAAAATGCCTGGGGACCGACCGTGTTCAAACCCATTCGGATTTATCTGTTCACGCATAGGACAAAGGGATTGAAATCAATTGAGAACTTACCTTACAGCTGTAGACACCTTCATCAATCCGACTGGCCTTGTTAACGCCCAGAATCGCCGTATAGACATCTTTGGTTTCAGGTGGCAGAACAGTGGTCCAGATTTCCCTGCAGAAAGATACAGATACAGACAGATGGTAATTAGCACTCCACTTTCGGTTTCTCCCGAGCACTTGAAACAGACCCGTATAGTGCCATTCAAGCATTAATTTTCACGCCCCGACTAAGCAGCTGTTGCAAGTTGCCAGCAACTAATGCCAAGTGAACTGGATCATATGCAACAAGCCCGCTAATTGACATACTAATAGGAGCTCACTTATCATGGCGACGCCCCCATGGCCACCGCACCACTCCGCACCGCTCCGCACCGCAGTCTGCGTGAAAGAAATCATAGCTAATGTGAAAACAATCGCGGATGCTGCGGTTCGAAGTCAATTAGCAGCAAGCATGTTTCATTTTCAAATGTTTTTCGAAATGCTTTCGATGCCACAATGCTGTACGAGTAGCTATAGCTTTAGCATTGTTGCTAAAATTGTAAATAGTTTTTGGTTTCATGGATAAATGGGTCAGTGCATTGCTGGCTCAGAGCAGACACAGGTTTCCGGTATGGGTTCATCAATTAGGGCCCTCAGGGCGAGCTCGTATCTATGGATAATGAGTGCCGAGAGTGGCGCACATATTTGTGCAAATAAATTATTGAGTATATCTAATACTGTTCAATACCTAAGCCTTGTGGAAGTTCACACAAAATTACCTGAGGCTACGAGGGTCTTACTTTTAACAAACGATACGGAATGCCGTAATTACGAATATAAACTCCGCTCGTCAGCTCTTCGCAAAGTTTTCCAACTATCCAAAATGCATGCTAAGCCTATTAGGCCATCTCAGGCGTCCCTCGTAATCCTCGGGAGAACTGCAAATCACGGCATACACCTGCTGTGGAGCACTAAGTAAAACAAACCAAAACCCGAAACCTTCCAGCTGGCAACAACTTAAGTGCTGTTTGAGGTTTTGGTGGCCAACAAACATCTGCAGGGCGCCCCCAACCAGCTTGCCGCCCTCCGCCTGCCTCCTTCGCGCCAGGTGAGTGCATTTCACTAATAACTTTTACGCATGGGTAACGCTGACGTCATGCCAAGACCAGCATGAGCAAAGAACTCCCTTCAAAGAGCCTTGAAAAAGGTACCCAAAAACCGCACACGGCGAAAGTGCGGTTAGGGTACCACCGGCGACCTTAACCACAATCTCCATGCTCACTCCGAAATCATGGTTTCGAGCTATTTACAGCTGTACCATCTAAAAATGCGTTTTCAATGGGCAAAGGCATGGGCATGGGCACGGGCTTTCCTGGTTCCAGCCTGCAAAGCACTTAGGCTACAATTTACTAATGGCCTATGGCTGAAGACTCCACCGGTGCCCGAGCAGTACCTGGCCAGGTAGCCCTAACCCACCGAACGACCGAATAGGCACCTTCAAAATCAATTAAACGGCAACGGAAGTAATAACATTCTGTGCAGGAAGTGCGTAACGGTTAAATGCAGCGGCAACACCAGAAGCCGTAGTAACTACGACTACGTACCCCATGGAACTGCGTTGCTTCCCAAACAACAACCGCAAAAACAGCAAAGCGCCATTGCGCTCGTTTACAGCAAATGAGCACCAAAGGAGGGCAGTGAAGGGAAGGCTGGGGTGGGGAGGGGAGGGGAATGACATCCACAACAATGGCAGCGGTGCACAGGAAGCTGCCTAAGCGCCAGTTACTCCTCTAATACCATGGCATGCACAACTGCACTGCAAACACACGGCCACAGACGGCAGAGGCGGCGGTCAAAGATTAGGGACTGCAACTACCCGCGGGTGATGGCGTGATGGGTGGCGTGAATGAGCGCCGCTCTCGTAATGGCTAAAAAATACTATGTAAAGCACTATGTGGCACGTGTGCTGCCAGCATCTAATATCGATGCAGTATCGGTAGAATATTTCTTTGGAGGCATCTACTCGGGCGGATTTATCCATGGTGTATGCACAATTTTAATGACAAGCTTTTCTCAATGCATTTTCCATCACGTAACCATCTCCAGCAATGCCATTGCCACCAATGACGGCTGTTGTAGGGAACATTGTTGGCTTTGGTTGCAAAATGCATTCGTTTCGACCCCATCGCCCCGCCATCGACCCGCCATCGCCCTGCCATCGCCCCGCCATCGCCCCGCCATCGCCCCGGCATCGCCATCGCGTTACAAATGGCCCGCGAAATGCGTTTGCGTAGGCGTGCGTGTCTGTGTGTTGCAGTGCGTGTCCTGTAACGGCTCGGCTCGTACAAGTGGAGCTGCACATGCTGCAGCGCCGGCCAGAACGCAGAAGTTCATAATGAAGAACCGTGCGGTGCGGGGCTTTTCGAATCTGTGCCTCATTTGATCGGGTGTGCTTTTGGCCCTGCTGAAACAACTCATAACCACGTATTGGCTGCCAAGTAGAATGGAGCAATTACGTCCGGCCTGGTGCCCGTTGCATTGGGCGACAGAAAACTTCGTTAAACGTTCGCAGATACACAAAAAGCGAGTCGCAAATCGATAAGTTTATGGGCGTGAACACTACTGGAGGCCTCTCTCCTTCTCCTTGAGTGACTTGATTTGACTTTTGGCCTCGGAAAGTGACTGAAAGTGGCTGATGTCACATCAATTTGGGTAATTAGTTGTCACGGGCTGTAAATCCTTTGGGATGTTCATTTCAGAGTGATTGCAAACTGTGGAGTTAATAAAGTATAAATAATATGAGTATGTACACCTAGTCAATCATATATGTATATCTGTTGAAAAACAAACGAGAGTGATAAAAAAAAATTAGCTGTGAGCCACGTAACGATTTCAGTGTTGTGGCAAGCGAGTCGTAAAACAACATATGAATAGCTCAAAGCGATGCTCAATGTTTTGGTAGACAGACAGCTGAGGGGAAGGGGTGCCTGTGCGTTTTTTGCGGCTGGGAGGGCGCCGTAGAGCCTGGGGGCCAGCTCCTCTCACACATATGGATATTCGTATATAAAATACGATTCCATTGCAGTGTTTTATGAGTTCATAAAATTGGTGTGTAGGTGTTTATTATCGTTGTATTATTTTGGTTTGTCCCGGCCGCCAATAGCATGGGAAATTGAAATTGTGAAGTTACTTTTCTGCTGAATATTTTATCACCGTCCTCTGCAATACTCGTAAATATGAATATCTTAAGGCCCGGTCCGGCACGGCCCGCTCAATATCTTAAAGCTGCAGGCCGCATTCCCGTAACCGTAACCGTAACTTGATTAGAAATAAGGGAGTGCGTCCGCTAAATTCAAGGGCCCACATAAAAACTTTATTAAACGCAACTACGCATAAAAACAAAACGATGACAAAGTACGCGACCTCGTAGTTGTCCCATCGCCGGGCTGGGCCTTTAGCCAACAAGGGACAACAACGATTCACTTCAAGATGTAGCAAATTTCATTAGAATCGTAACAAGAAAACGTGTCTCAACGGCTAAATTGCAAGGGACCGAAAGCAAATCAAAAAAGCGAAAAAGCGAACCAGTCGTCCACGATTTCAGTGAAAGACGAGAGGCCTGATTGGCTTACTGGGCAGCCACTGGGCGTAGCTGTGGGAGTAGCTCTGGAGTGTTCAACTTTTGAACAAAAACCATGGACCGAACCATGGACCGAACCATGGACCGAACCATGGACAAATTTAATGCATTAAACTCCATTCTGTGACATAAACTTTTTATTTTCGCTGTCTTTTAGTTCTGCAGCGATCTTCCCCATAGATTATCCCTTAAATGTCACAAAGAAAGGCCACACTGTTTGCACAACCCAAGCCCAAGCCCAAGCAGCCCAGGGTCTCAAAAAACCAAATGCCGTATCCATACCCGAATTATTTACCCCTTGGCTTTTTGCTTCCATGCCATTTCTTGCTGCCACTGTTTCTCGTTTAGTTAAGGTCGAAATGTATCTTTTTCGTTTTTTGCTGACGAGCTTTTTTCCTTTGTCTTTTTATGGGCTGCGTGCCAAAGCCGAGGTGGCAATAAGGAACGATGAGATGTGTGACGGCGATGGCAGAGATGGGGAAGGCGGAAAAGGTGTTAGTGAATTTTATTCAAATTTTGTGCTAATCAAAAGATGCGTGACAGGAAAGTTAAACGCAGGGAGGACTCGAAACAGTTCTCTGGAAACTGGTTTGGCAGAACGAATGATTTATCCTAGATTTCTGATCGTTTGTGCGATATGCGATTAGCCCTGGGCTACACAAGGGACGAAACATCCTCTTTTTGATAAAGTCCTTTATTGGCAGACAACAAAATCACAAGCAGAAGTGTCAACTCTTAGATACTGTACTGAAGCTATTGATCTTGGAACAATATCGACCGCGCCATATTTGCTAACGTTTTTAACGATTTTCCTACGTGCTTCCTAGAACATGAAAACAACCAATCCTATTTATTTGCCGGTAATCACTCCGTTGTGCGTGTGCTCTGTGACTGGGATACATAAGTGGTTCGCCAGGTGTCCTTCGTTTCCGTATCCTCGATTTCGACTGCCTCTGGCGGCCTAAACGCATTTGGATGGACGCTTATGCCAAAATTTGTTAGCCTTCCATTTGCAAAAACGGCGCCAACCACGCACCACCGCCAGACGTCGTCGGCTTCATTTGTCCGCCGCTGTGTCAGCAGGAGTCTCCTCGCCAGCTTCGGCCGCTGCGGCCTGCTCAATGGCCTTGGCTGCACTGGGATCCGCGATGCTGCCAAAGTAGTTGCCGGTGGGCTCGATCTCCACCACTCGCTCCACATCGTCCAGCTTCGGCGGGGCTGGCACCGTAATCATGAGTATGCCGTCGGCGGAGAACGTCGCCCGTGCCTGGGTACCATCGTAGTGCCTGGGGAGCTTGTAGGTGCGGGAGAACTCGCGGGTAATGCAGAGCTGACCCTTGTCCGCGCGATCGTCCGACTGCTTGCCCTCGACACAAACTGTGTCACTGTTCCTCGCCTTGACGGTCAGCTCGGAGATCTGGAAGTGATGAACGTCCAGGACCACCTTGAAGGTGCCGCGGCCCAGAGAGTCCGGCTCTGTGCCCGTCTCTATGACCACGCGTCCTACCAGACACGACCCATGGCACCAGGCGCTGTCGTCCACTCGCAAGTGGAAGTCTCTGGCGCACACGTCTAGCTCGTGCGACAAGTAGTACCGCCGTTGGCGACACTTGGGCTCTCCCGAGGTCCAGTGCCGGCGGGGGGGCCAGTGATAGTGAGCGCCTCCATGCTCATGCTCGTGCTCCCAGTCCCAGTCCCAGTGTATGGGCATGGCTCAGGTGTGGGCCCGAAGGTCCTTAGGTGTGCTTTGGTACAGCGGAACAAGCGTGTTGATTTTTGGCTTCGGAGACCAAAAAAACCGTTGCCCTCTGCCCTGTTCGACTATTATTTCCTAACTGACTTTCTGAGCAAAGTATGCAACCTACTCCGACCACGGCGTGCACAACTGTACCCAGCGGGCACATGCAGCGACTGCCACTGGGCTATTTTTGATATCCCTTCAATGCGGCGCATAAACATCGCTTTCCATTCCTCAAGCCCAGCACGCATAGATTGGCCAAAAGTGGGGCGCTTCTGCCATGTCTAACCTCAAACTGTTTGATCAATACTCGTTCCAGCAACCATCCAATCAAGCGCTCAACTTTTTTTATTGCACAAATGGTGCCAGCGAGTCGGAATCGGAAACAGCGACCAGCACACACACACACACACACACACACACACACACAGTGTAAGCAGTTATGAGATAATGCCAAATTTTGGAGCAGTGGAGCGGCACGGGTTTGTGCAACTAATTGTGGCGCTGTCATTGTCACCCCACAACAGAAAAGCCAAGGCAAAGAAACTGTGCAGAACGAAACTAATGAAAATCGTGACCCTCCCATTCCAGATACTCGTATGGGTGTACGAGTGGCTAAAAGTACGACTACATGCACTCATATGAACGTCCTTTGACTACACAGGGTCCACTCTGATGAAGAATATACTTAAGTAAACATTTATCCACGATTAGGGACACTTCTTTGTATGGTTAGATTGAGCGTTACCTGTTTGTCCCCCTTGATGGCAATTTTTGTAGGCAGAAAGTGCACACTTTAAGCCGTTGCACCCTGTACGGTTTTAGCTGTTACAAAGGCGTTGTATTCCATTGTCCCGGACAACGCCGGCGTTGCGTTGCGTTGTCAAGACAGTTGCCTCTTTTGTTGCTGTTATTTTGTATTACTGTTGCCCCGGGTTGAGCCAATTTGTAAAATATACGAAATATATTTTACTTATGTCTCTGGCTGGGTCTGGAGCTGGGGCTGGGGCTGGGCTGGGGCTGGGGCTGAGGGTCTGGCAATTTGGCTGCATGGCTGCTGAAATTGAATTTTTGCTTTGGCTTTTAAGCAAGTTTGACAAATTTTCAGAAGCCAGCCAAAAGTGACTGCAGCTTGACACAGCGCATCGCATCGTGGCTGTTTCGTTGGCTGCAGCCAAAGACTTAGTCGGGGGGCCCGGATTGCGAGGGTGAGCCGGAGAGCCGGAGAGCGGTCTAGGGCGGGTTAAATTGCATTGACAGGCAGTCAGAAAGAAACTTCAACCCTTTCCACGTCATGGCGCTAAGAAGAACGAGGGTTACGCAAAAACTTAAAGCAAACTTTGTGGGAAAGTAAAGGTCTCTTTAAAAGGTCAATTGGCTTGTCTGCTTACAAGTTGTTGACTTCTATGGAAACAATCTTAGAAATAACATATCGGTGCAAAAGACGTCAAGACTTTGTATCGTATATTTTCGCGTGCTCTCGCTTATGGAATTAGCGATAGTTTGCCAGGCGGATCATGGATGCTGGAAGTAATATTAAATGTCGAGGCAATCGATTCCGGCTCAGTTTATTCCCGACAGCAACGCGGCAAGCAAGTTTCCAGTAAGAAAAAGTTTTCAAAAAAAGCTGTGATTATAAAGTAACGAAACAAAGAAATCAAGTGCTCCTCCTCCACAAGTGAAAACCAAAACCAATCAAGTTAGCTGTGATTCAGGTGGCAAACCCAACCAATCAGGCCCCCGAAGACGGTTAGTGGGTGGCGTGTGGCAGGCAGCTTATTGAATGAGGAATAGTTGGTGGCCCAAAACTAATAATAGCATTAGTACCGCTGTAACACTTAATCAGCAGCACAGTTGGGCCTCGGAATGCCGCTCACTCCAATCTCGACAGGATTAGTGTGGCAATTAATGACCGAGCCCTGCTGGATGCTATAGATTATTTTACACATGTGTCTTGGCTGCCAGCGAATGGGAGCGCCAAGGCATGTTAATCAAAGCCCGACCCGACCTGGGTAGAGTCCTGATAGTTGTGGCTGCTGGCGCCTTGGGAGCTTAGGGAGCGTTAGCGACGTGATTGGAAAATAATTGCATTCATTAAGTAGGTTATGGTTGGGTCTTGGTCTTGCTCTTGGTCCTGCTCTTGGTCTGTGGCCGTTAAACATCTCTTAACTGGGTCAAAATCGGGCGATTGGCAATTCAATAGGTTAACAGTTGAACGCCTCAATTTCGAGCTTTAAGTTTCTCCAATTTGGAAACCCGTACAGTAACGTACCTCCTTTTATGGAAAATAGCTTTCGCAGGGGTCGAAAATTGTATGTTTTAGGGAATATTGTTCCTGGATAATAAATAACACTGCCCACGTGAAATCAAGCATTCAAAATTCACTTACTTCCGGTTATTTTAGTACGCAAAAGTTAGGTCATCGGACGGATCTAATGTGTAGTCGTTTGTGTGATGCAAAGTTAGTAAATGTCCAAATGAATGACTTCACTTCACTTCACTTTAGTTAAAATATTTACTAATACTGGCCCCATCGTTGGGGAAACATGTGTTTGCGGCTTGTATGGCAGTCATTTTTTACACATCAATGCGCCCAAGTCTGGGAGAGCAGCTTGGCCCTGCCACGTGTGGAACTCTTGTTGCACACACACACAGAGGAATGTGTATGTGTATGGGGGTATGCGTATGCATAAAAGTAATCATAAGTTCAGGCTACGACTGAGTCGAGGAATGTGATATTGGAGAGGCAGACTGCTCCCAAGAAAGGGTCAGATTGTTCTACCAGAAGCATTCGTTTTGGAGTACTTCCAAAATAGATTAGGATATCGATTGGCAGGGTTTATTTTATTTATTTGAAAGAATACGGTTGAGCACACAATGATTTGTTTTCTAATAAACAAAAATAGTTACCTCCAGGTGAAGATTTTTGTTGGCTGAGCTCCAAATACAATGCACGAGTGTTTGGTTGTGTTTTCCAAGTATTAAAATGTTGTTGAATAAGGAACTATGAATTAACTTGGTTAAAGCCATTTCCCGCTCCATTCTAATGACGTCCCATTAGGCAGTTGTGTTTTGTGGTGGGGCTGCGGCTGCATGTCACATTGTCGGGGAGACATGTTTCGTAGTGGAGCCTGAAGGAGTGGCTAAAGCCAGACTCCTGACAACCCCTGCCAAGTGGTCCAAATAACAGCCCCTCGTTAGTCACGGCCATATGCTTTTTATGTAATTCACCCCCCCCGCACACAGATACGCAGCCCATATGAGGAGGCGCTCTCCCAAGCAAACTGAAACTGTTGGCCCCCACCAGAGTATCGCACCATGCCACTCGTGAATGTTGGCTACACATGTGCTCCAACTGCCTCACACTGTTGGATTTATGATCAATCATTCGGCTGGGCTTACTGCGGTTAGGTTTCGTTTCGTCCTGGTCTACGCTTTGGCTGGCCTCCGTCTACTTCTGACAAATCTTTATCTTCGGCTTCGCTTATTTATCCTTTTTGGCCGTTTCATTTTTATTTTTCGAGGCATTTTTATGTCATGTTTATTGATGTGTAAAAGTCATAAAGTCAAATTGAACACTTGTGCATCTCTAGCGAACCCTGCCCTCCCGAGTGTGACATTGAATGGCTACCAGCTTTTCCTTATTTTCATTTTACTCGTACGAGTATAGTATTTTATTAAAATTCGAAATCAACAGAAACGGATTTAAGGCGTTCAACTGGTCAATGTTTATGGTATTTTGAGCCGGGGCACTGACCCCCTGGGGATGTACATATGTGATAAGCAGCTGGGACCATCTATCTACTTACCTCGTTGCCTTGCTGGCATTCACCGCGGCTCCGTCTTTGAACCACTGGAATTGCATGCGGGATGAGCCCTGGGCGGTGCAGGATATGATGAACTCGCTGTCCTCGCGCACGCTTCCTTGCGGTTGATTGACGCTCAGATCCTGCAATGAAGGGACAACGCATGGACAGCAGTCGGACAATGTTACACTAATTAGACATCGGACAGTCGGGATATGGCGGTTGAGGTGTGGTTTTCGAGTTGGGGTTTGGGGTTGGGGGTTTGGGGCTGGTATCGGTCCCTCAGTTCCTGTCAGAGCTACCAGGCTGGCTCGCTGTTCTTGCTGGTCACAGCCTGAGGTTTGTCGGCTTGTTCGTCAGGTTAATGCAACTTAATTGCAGGACTCCTGATGAGGCCAATTGTTCGCTCATGCAAGCCGCAATTAATAAATAATTATTTTCGTTGTTCGGGCCGAGTGTCAAGTGCCACACTGTTGACATATTTATGTACGGATATACGCATATTTATTAACACGGCACTTTGCTACACGGGCTATTACTGTTGTTGTTTCCATTGGCGACTCGTTTGTTCCAACACGTGCCTCAATAGTTCATAAATTATTGTTTAATACATATCGGAAATGGAAAGAGTGCCATCTATGTAATGCGCGTACAAGTATATTTATTACGCTTTTAATAGCCAGCCTTCCTGTCTCCGATACGTATTAATAAAAGCACCATTCGGAAAAAATCAATGATGGAATGATGGCATGATGGAATGCCTCCAATTGATTGATGTTCTCCGAGTGCAAAGTGAAAAAGTGCCAGCGACAAATTAAATATGTATATTTATTCCACAGAGTCGGAACATTTCAATAGATAAAGTGTAATGAAGGCTTTAAAAAGGACTGTCTGTGCTGCATTTAAGCGAATATTCTTGATCTCATTGTTATTTTTGCTTTCAAACTAAATTCTGGCAGGCCAAATTGGCCCAATTGTGCAATAAAGAACTGGATTAATGAGTTTTTGCTGGATTTTTTCCCTATTTTTCTCGTTACTCACCAGCAAATTCAACGGCGGATTCTCGTCGAAATGATGAAAATTGGCAACCAATGTAAAGTTTCCGATTCTTCCACGCTCCACCATTCGGGTAATTGCCTCCCGAATGCGCTGCGAGTCACCTTTGACCCCAAAGAAGTGAAAAGTCATATCCAAGCGATCGGTGGAGTTCGAAATCAGTTCAAGATCGCTGATTTTGGTAATATTGAAGTTTCGCAAGACACGACCAAGCTGTAAAATAAAGAACAAATATACAGAGATTACATATACGGCTTACTCTTTATGGAGAGAAGAATCCTTTGATAAAACACAAGAGCTTCGAAATAAAACCCTTTAATGTCCATCTACCTTTTTTTCTCCTCATTTTTCTTAGTCTTTTCCCACCTTAACCTTCGACTCGCTTTTCCACACGACACTTTTTCATAATTTGGAATTAATGGTAAAATATTCCAGCAAATAGCACCTTTGAGCATTAAGCACGCATCAGTGTACAACGTATCCGTGCTAGATATGGATAGCGAGGTCTGTGTGGGGGCTACAGTTGGGGCCCAAGTCACCTGCAGAATCTTACACTGGAGAGCGCTTAAAGCAACCGTAGACCTTCGCCTTTTTTTTGGCTTTTTCGGCTGCTCTGCTCTTATCGGACCTGCTTTAAGTTGCGGGCTGGAGCCGAAGCTTTTCTCGCTGAAATTGGCCATAAAAGACATTTTTCTGGTATAAGTTTGCTTTGTGCCGGGCTTTGTTGCACCCGTGTGTGCCAGGCTGCAGGAATTGACTCGTGGTCGTTTTACTTAAGGCTTATCCTTGTCTGAAATGATTATGCATTATGCTTAAGCCGTATCCTCCTGCTGGACCCCAACCCATGTCCCAATACGGTGCTCAGACGGTTGGTTTCCCAACTTGTTCTTTGTTTTTTGGCATTGTGTAAAAATCTGCTTGAATATTCGAATTATTACAGTTTTGGTTTGAATGGAAACAGCCAATTCCCAAGCACCAGAGGGTAGCAATAGTTTTTTCACACTTAAACATTGAGTATCTCGCAAACAATAGTTACCTACTCATTTAGGACGGGACTATAAGCCCTCGTATAGGGGGGGGCACTCATTTTCCAGGGTTTGAACTTTTCGTGAGTCGCAGACATAACCAATTAGCGCTCTTAATTAAGACGGAGAGTACATTGCTACAATAGTGTGGGGAAATGGAGAAATGGGAAAGTGGAAAGTGGAAAAATACTCTGAAAAAGGGGCAAACCGTGAAATCAAAGCTGACAACGAAAGTCTTTCGGCTTTCCTGGGACTTACTTTGAAGTGGACACTATAGGTTGTTTTAGCGAAAACTTATTGGTAGTAATTATGTTCCCTTCTAGCGCCTTTTAGAAAGACCTCGAAACCTTGGAGTTTCAATTGGCTTTTTGATGGGGGGGTCGGGGGATGGGGATGGGGGATTTTTTGCCGCTGCACTTGGAATGCGAAGCTAATGCAATTCTCTCGCCCTAATTAGGGCCCGGTCTGGTACTCATACAAATTAGTGGTGGGCTCCATTGTTGGGGGCACAAAAATAGTGGGATCAACAATGCAAAGCATCAAGTAAAATCCGGCCAGAAGTGGAAAGTAAAGCTCGAAACAGGCCTGGGTCTTCACAAGTGCCTCGTCGTCGTCGTAGTCGTCGTCGTCGCAGGGAAAACTTCACCCGAGTTGTGTAAATATATAGTTACGGAATTAATCAGAAAAGTGCGCACAAAAACGAAGGAAGCGAGTAAGAAAATAAATATTTTCGGTTAATATAAAAGAATTTCCTGTAGCCTTCGTTCGCGTGCACACTTCCGCCCTATTTTCCCTCTACCATTTTTCCATTTTTCCATTTTTGTGCTTCTTTCTTTTTTTAATAAATATGCCGCAAAATGAAAGATGGCAAGTGGTAAGAAAAAAAGTGCAACAGTGAACGTGCTGCAAAGTGGCTTCGGTTGTTTGGCTTGCAAGTTCTTAAGAGGCTTGTGGGGAACGGGTGAATGAGTCGCGTCTGTGGGCTCTGTGCAGCACAGAATAAGGACGGGCACGAGTAGGCCGTTTGTTTGCGACTGCTCTGAAAAGTTTTTAAGTAAAAGTGTGGCAAAAAAAACAGTTTGTAGAGAAAGCTACTTCCGACATCATCAGAGACTACGCATTAAAATTGTCCACTGGGGCCTGAACTCACAATTCGGTGGAGGTGCATTGCACTCCATCTGCCGCATTCGAAATAAAATGATGCTTTGGTCAAGCAACTTTGATATCCTGCGCCGGTCTCCGGTCTGAACCAAGGCAGGCACCACACGGGCCTCGTATCGAAGTAATTTCATTGCAGAGTAAAAATCCCAGCTCCATTAAATCTGAGGCTTATTCGCTTACACTCATGTGCATACGTTCTGGCAGGAAGATCCAGTCTTGAAGCAGGGCAGGGCGCAGCATCAGCACTCAGGCGTCAGTGATATCCTGCGCTCGTTTGCCCTGTTCCTCTATTTAATCGTATTCGCTTCGGTTTTATCTCAACTCTGTGCTAATGGCATTTTAATTTCAAGTAGACGAGAGTACTGGCTGGGCCAATGTGTATCTTTAAAGGTTTTTTTTTTTGTTATTTTTCCCCTGCCGTACATTCGAATATCGACTATTCGCCAAATACTTGAAGAGGCAGGTACATATACATATACATATACTCGTATATGATTGATAAAGGGAAATTACCATTGGGATGGCCAGCGTAGCTGCCTGCTATTTTAATTAAGAAATTTTAATTCATCTGCTTCCGAGCCGTAAGCATGCTTCTGTTCTCCGTTCTCCGGCAAGTACGGATCCCTTTAGAAAAATGCAAGCAGGGCTCACTCGCGGCAACTACTAATAATGACCTTCAGCTCGCATTTACGACTACTTACCTCTCCGGAGAGTGGCTTTAACATTAAAAAGTTCAGTCTTGAAAGCGAAAATTTACCTAGACATGCCGGAGAGATGCTTGTGCCGTGACGTGACTGAATATAGTACGGCCCGGAGTAGTCTGGGATAAGGGGCTGCATTTATAGCTGGGAAAGTGTTTCTACTCGTACTGCTTATGCAAAGCACAGTTATCTGTTTTGAATGCATTCAGGGGTGGCTAAGACGGAGTAGACTTCGTTGGGCCCTGGCCAAGCAGCCCAGAAAAATTTAAATGAATGTCTCAGTCTCTGGGGGGGAGGGGTGGCAGTCACGGAGACTGCCTCGGAACTCAATTTGCTAACTAAACGGGCCACTTTGGTTTATCCATTCACAGGCTCACCCGTTGACAGGCGTTGACAGGCGACAGGATGCCGGGCGTAGTCTTTCTAATCGTTGTGCCGACGGCAAATTTCGAACGTGAGCTGATTTACGGTAAGTCCGGGGACCGAACAGCGAAATTGAATAAGCGCTTGTGCCTAATTAAATACAAAGTTGCAATTTTGTTTACACGAACCTGTAACATTCACCTAGGCGCTGGTAACCGCAAAATCTGCCGAGCGGCCTCCAACCCATGCTCATAGTGATCCGTTACCACATCCCCAGCCCCAGCCCCAGCCACATCCCCACCCACTCCCACGCCCACTCCCACGCCCACATCTACCTGTATGCATTGGGCTTAGCGCGTAATTACGTTGTTTAGTGGCGTTATTAATTATTTTATGACATCGTAAAAGTGTTTCAGCAACTGAAAGCATTCCATGAATGTTGCATGAACTCCCATCAGACACACACGGACGTAAACACAGGGCCGTAGATTTGTTTTGTTTCGCATTTTCGGTGGGGCCTGACTCAGTTTGCGGCTATCTAACGCAGAATCCTACCAAGAATCCTTGTAGGAAGCCGACTTTACGAGGGCATGCCAAGAGTGGGAAGCACACGCTGCCGCCAGAAAATGTAATATTAAAATTGAATTAGCCACGAAGAAATTGCACGAAGAATTTCGAACTGAACAGGTTGAACAGATAGAAAAGTTTGGGCCAAGAAACCAAGAAGCCAGAAGGTAATATTAGGTGGGGGCTGGGCTGCCAATTTTTTAATCGTTCTTCCTGGATATATACCAAAAAATTATTGTTAATTAAAAAAACTCCCAACGCTACATTTTAGCAAACAATTTATCATAATCAAAGGCGATAACAAAAAAAAAATGGATATAATAAAAACTCATCAACAATATAATTTATGAAATAAAAGGCCGCACCACATGGAAACGCGAGTCTGGCGTCTTGGGAAATCTGACACGAAAAAAGGCCATGACAGGAACGAACATGTAGGAGTCAATTTTTGGCAAGAGCATTAATCAAACATTTATTTAAATACAAAACAACAGCCGGGCCATCGCCATCGCCATCAAAGAAAATCATCATTAATTTAGTTTGTCACTATGGCAGCGCCCAGGCTGATAATGACAATGAAGGAGCAGGGGGGCAGTGGGGCAGGGGGGCATGTGGGCATGTTAGGCGTGAACAAAGTTTCTACAAGTCCTGGAAAGAACAAAACAAGTACCTCAAGTATAAAGCCTAAAGAATTGCCATGCCAAAAAACTTGAAATAAAAACCTGAAAAGTATAGACAAGTAAGTAAAGTATAGATGTTGTCCTTGGCGACATCTTAAAGTGTGTCAAATAATGAAGATGGAAAGAGGAGAGCGACACATTTAAGTGGAATCAGTGTAGAGCAGGGCTCAAAGGTGTCAGACATAAATCACAGATTCTTCAATGCCACAGCTATCCAAGTTTAACGAATCTTTGGCCGGATCTGGCCATTCAATGCCACTAACCGACCCAGGGTCCCAGAAATAGGCAATGCAGAGCCACTTGGGTTATGGTCAGGTATTGGCTGGCCGGTGCCAAGGATGGCAAATTTGCAGACTCTTGGAACTTTGCCCACCAGAGAAACTATGCGAAACAAATTCAGACCTACACCCGGCACCGCTTGCGGCGGGGCGGGTCCTGAGTCCTGGCTTCTGGCTTCTGGCCTAAGCGCATTTAAGCTTTATTTCGGCATTTGTCAATGTGGCGGGATTTATATTACATGTCGATGTCTGGCTGGCTGTCCCCTCCCCCCGCCCTCGTCTGTGCCTGCTCGTTGGCATAATAAATTGTGATCCTTTGTATGGTTTTTATATAGACTTTGATTTGATTTTTCGCCTGCCATTGCCACTGCTACTTTATTTATTTATTTATGTAGGTACAAATGTAGCTCAAGTGGAGCTTAGTGGAGGCCCATGCGGCATGGGCGTGTTTATTTTCCGACTTTAATTTGAACAAAGGTTGGTCGAGCACAAAATACCCGTTTAATTGTATAATAACAATGATTATTTGTTATTGGTAGCGTGGCATTTAATTAGCGTAATTTGCAGCAAAAATGAGCTTAGCGGTCGACATGCCGCACATCGTTGTCCGTTGTAAGCCAAATATTTATTAAACGCATAACTGGATATCCAAATATCAGAGAAATTCACGCTAATTATAATATAAATAGTTAAATGGTAATAAATAAACCGAAAGAAAAACTATAGCCAGCGAATGCTGGACCTTCATGTATTTTATAATCCTTCTTAATAGTGCATCAGCTTGAATTTATGTACATGTCCACATCACCTTTTCATTAACCATTTCCAGGCACTTCAAATAAAGCTAACACCGAGACTTCTGCCGGGACTATTGGTAGCCATGGAAACCAACCTGTGGTCGGCGCGGGCGGACCAGGAGGGGCTGGTGGCGGTGGCGGTGGCGGGGGAGGTGGCAACAATAATCTGAACATCAATCTTCCGGAGAATAACAACACAATACTACGACTCGAAGTTGAATTACGTGACAAGAATGTGCCCAAGTATCGACGCGGTGTGGTCGGTGGGCGTGGTGGTGGAGGTGGCCGTGGAGGTGGTCCAGGAGCTGGACGTGTCGGTGTTGCCGGTCGACCAGAAGCAGAGGGGCCTAAGCGTACTGCAGGAGCCCTAGGAGGTGACACAACTGCGACAACTGCGTCGCTGGACAGACGTAATTTAGTGGTGCCGCTTGAAAAGGTAAGTCGTTCTCTGGGCAGCCACAAGTACCACACCCTCCTCCCTTTCGGCCATGCTATCGACCAGAAGGTACGGTCAAGTGCGCCAAAGCTTTATGTTTCCCCAAGCACTTAAAGTTGATTTTCGTGTGCGCTGTGCGTTGTGCGGCAAGAGTTTGATTTCAACTGCGACTGTGTCTTCTGGGCCCGGACTGTTGCTTTGTGAATGCACTTAACGAGACAGAACGTGACTCGAGCGCATTGCATACTTTTGCGAAGCGCCAGTAACGTCTGTTACCCAGATGTTATCTTGTGGTGGATTATACTGATGAATGGGGTGGCCTCTAAGCCCCGGCCAAGGATTGATGAATGCAACACTTGGGACAGACAGACAGAGAGTCTTCGAGCAAGGCCGAGATAAATCAACAGTCGCCAAGCCATTAAATCAAATTCTGTCCAGCCCAGCCCCGGATCCCCAGCGATCCAATTAAATGCAAAAGTTGTAAGTCGGTGGAATGCTCCGCGCTAAGCTGTTGCTTGTCTTTCTTTCGCAGGTACTTGAGGAGTTACTTGTCAAGCTTGAAATTGAGCACGTTACTTGGACAACAAGCAAAAAAGGTTATTTTCATCACGTCGTTTTTCCGCTGCAAGCCGGCGACGCCTGCGAGACTACTCTGCACTGTCTCACGGAACTGGGCATTGGCACTAAATTGAATTCCAGTGTCAGGTAAGTTGAGACTTGAGACATTGAGGGGGACAGGGGAACACAGTGCTAAACGTGCCGGGAAAGCCAAGAACTCGTAGGTCGCTCCACACTTTGCCGTGCAACAGCTGGTCGACCCCTGGCCTCGTACAGGCCCTGTCTCTTGGTTTTAATAAAAATGCAATAAAATGCAGAAAGATGAGAACCCAAGGCTTAGTGGGGGATCAGTTGCCTCAGTACTTTCCTGAAGTGTTGTGCATTGCCATATTTTGATTGCTTGTAGGCTTCTAGGTAATACTACCGATAGAACCGATACTTCTTGGCAACAGCTGGACAACAGCCGTCTCAAACTTAAAAGTGTGATTGCTGTATAAGTTACATCTTATTTTAAATAAACTCAGCTTAAGCAGTTCCCCTTTCAACAGCACCGTACCGGACACTAAGCCTTGAAGAAATGCTCCCAAGTAATTAGATTAAGAAAAATGCAAGAAAAGTCGAAGTTAAGCAGAACAATGAACTGCACTAAGTGGGACTTTAAGTAAATTAAAGACGAACAGACACAGGCCAAAGGGCAAAGGGCAAGAAAGAGCATGCAGAAACAAAGGCACTAACAAAAGCTACAGGAGCAACAATGCACTGTGGGATGCTGCAGGAGAAGGGACGATAAGTAGGTGTGATAATCATTTAATAGCATTAAGCAGGAGGGATTAAAGTGCAGTCGAAGGTGTGACCAGTTGCCAAAGGAAGTCGAAGACATTTAAGAAGAATAAGATGCAAGGAGCAGATGTTTTTCAAGCCTTCGGGCGGAGTAGCCAGACAATGTAAAGTGTTATCTGATTAATACCCTTATGCGCACAAATCTAATTCAAATGGAAGATACTCTGTAACGCACAAGGTATACAGTAGTACAGCACTGAACTATTAACCCATAAAACATGTGTTACTTATTTGTTTCACTATTGCCATGGACTGAAATCTATATCGTTCACCCGTTGCAGCGTTCTGCCGTGCAGCGTTAGTTATGATGCCATCACAGATGCGTCCAACATGCGGGATGACTACAGGTAAGTGCATACATCTGCATCTACATGTGCATGTGCATGTGAATTGTGCTCGCGAGTATTGTGTTTCTCCGGCATGGCATTGTACGGCGTGCAGTCGTTTGTCAGGGCGGACGAGTCGTTGGCAGTGAAGTGTCTTTTGTCAGGGGCTCCCTGCCGCAGCTGTCGCTCTGTGGAAAACTAATTTCAGGTGTTCTCCTACGTGTCAAAGGCGTCAGTCATTTCATTAACTTTCACTGGCAGTCGCAGTCGCAGTCGCAGTCGCAGTCGAGTCTTAGTTTCGAGTCTCACTTTCAACGTCATCCTTTGTCCGTCTGGCTATTAGAAACGTGACATTTGCCTCTTTCACGTTGGCATCTCTTTTTGGCTCGTCTAGCCGGAAGACCCCCACAGACCCGCCGCGAAGAAGGCCATAGGCCTTGGCTCACGCCCAAGTTTATTACTCTTCTGGGTTAGACTTACGAGCTATTTGGGACAAGTATTGTCACAGAATTCGGAGTCTAGTCGTCGTGTCGGAAAGTGAAAATGCCAAAATTTGCATATGAAAGCTGGTCTGGGTTGATGGGGTTATGACTCTGGCCCTAGACAAGGGTTAAATGCATCCAGCTGGTGGGGCGTACAATTTATTTGCTTGCTCTTGTCCTTATTCGAAATGACAAAGCCGACAGTAAAGACATATACACACGGTGACTTCCTGCCAAGTAATTGTCACAGACCTGGACTTGGAATGCCTGTGTGCATACATGATGAGCTTGTAATTGGGGTTAGCGTGTGCTCGAGTTGAGTTTTGTTCGTGGGCGATGATTTGGCCAATGTTACGGTTGAATAATTACACCCAGGCAGAGTAGGCAAGGACTCCCTGAAGATACTGAATCATATGCGCCGGTGCTGAGGCGCTAAGTTCATTGAAATCAAGGAATTTCAGCCAAAAGCAACCATGTTTCGGCTTACTCTTCAGCCCCCAATAAAAGGGCATTGCGCCAATTACACAGCTGGAGCACATTTTTATCCCACTTGGTGTTTTCACATTAGAAACATCTTACGAGTATCCCGCCATTACCACAGTTTATTTTATGGCGGCGCTTATTTATTTGAGTTTTTATGTTCTTTGCCGTTTACAGCGACGATGCCGAGGACGTCTCGAAGTGGAACACTTTTGTGGAATCAATTAAATCGAAATTAACCGTAAAACAGGTGGTGGACGGCGTACGGGCCGGGGGCTCCCTGTCCTTTGACTATCTGCTGCTAATTGTTACCGCCGAGTAAGTACGGCCAAAGAGCTCAAGAAAGAGTTGGCGAAACAAGTTGGAAAATAACCACCTCCGTAGTAAAACCTCATTTCTCTGACCTCTAACCTCCAACCTCCAACCTCTGTTTTGTGCTTTTAGCTCTCTGGCCGCCCTCGGACTGGTCGAGAATAATGCACCAAATATTGTTGCGGCCATGTTGGTCTCGCCGCTTATGGGGCCCGTAATGTCGATAACATTCGGTGCAATTATCTCCGACAAAGAGCTAATGGTAAGTGCTATATTCTTGCCACCATTCGCGCCACATAGCGGTTGTGAGTTTTACTGGGAAAGCTGGGAAAAAACAAATCCAGAACATAACACCTTGGGGAAAAATAGAGAAACCGGAAACGGTAGATGAAGGGAGTTGCCACAAAGCCCATTTCGAATCGCTTTTCAAATGGAATTGTCAACACTTTTTCGCGACTCTTCGACTGGGTCTACATACATATGTGATACTTTTGAGTGATTTATGAGCAAATGACATTTGAAAAATAATAAAAATTGCATTGCAAATTGCGTTGAGAGTCGTCGGTCCAATGGCAATCCGTCCTCCGTGCCAGCTGTCAAAATTCCCATACACCCAACCCAACCGAAATATGCGCCAGTGAGGGTCGGACGAGTGTATTTGGGTTATTCCAGTCAAATGCATAGCGACATAACGGCACAGCGCTTGATGTTTCGCAAATTTGCATCGCTTTTGTGGTAAATGGTAAAGTTGTTGAATTGTTTATTGGCAGCGTTAGCTCGAAGAGGGTGGAGCCGTATGAAATATTCAAATGTTCTGCGAAATTTGGATACAAACAAAAAATCGCTATCCAAAAATCGATGTATGTATGTAAACACACTTTTTATTTTAATTATAAAAGAGCGCTTTGAAATCCACAAATCGGGTCTCTTTATTATTACAAATGAAAGAACCTTATAAAGCAATATTATATCAAGTTTTTTTGCTCAGAATTATACCAAGATAGAAACACCACCAACAGCAGATTTTTCTTGTGTCTAACTTAAGTTAAGCTTCTTAAAAGTAAAGAACGCAGCTCTTAGCAACACATTTAGCTCACGGCAAATAAAACTCAAGTTGAACCGCATTCTAACAGCACCTTATGGTCCGCTTTCTAACACCACCTTATGGTCGAGCTGCTCTTAAAATTGTCATAATTGTCACGAACAGAAACAGCAACTATCTTGCTTTCACAGAGCATACTCCTTCTTGAAGTTTTGTTAAATCAAAAGCGGATTTCGCTTCATGAAATTAAAAGACTGGTCTTAAGGTTCAAAATAAAAGCAGACAAATTTCGGACACATTTAAACAAATACAAGAAGGGGAAGCCTACAACAAATAGACAAAATAAAAAGGTAAATATATTCGTCTGCTTCCAGTTCTAATGAAGAGGCGACGGAGCCAGTCTGCCTTGGACTGTACCTATCCCACGGGCAACTTGTTGTCGGCTCGGTGTCTGCTGACACCATTTTTAGCAGCACACTCAGCCAGCCATACCCCGTATACCCCCCCGTGCCATGTACACCCGTGGCCAGGTGTCTTGCGGCTGTTGACATCTGCGTACTTCAATTAAAATTTAATTGAAATACATACATATGTCTGTGTACATCCTTTTTGCCGCCTTCCTTTCATCAGGGAGCTCAAGTTGCGGCAGCATAATCTTTTTCTAAAACGATAGGGTGCCTCAAGCACGAAACTTAAAGCGCGAATAACTCCTCGAATATAGTACAACTTTCGAGGAATATACTTGGAGTTAGACTGAAATGCTGAATACTTTTCAGATTCACAAATACATTTTCCTGGGTATCGGACAAACAATTTAGTTTATACTTTAAGACCTGAAATACCGACCTGGATGGATGCACCCCACACCAATCCTGTGGCTTGTTTTTATTTCATCACAAAATATTTCAACTTTAAAAAACATCAATGAAAAATATTTAATAGACACAAGCAACATTCAAATTATCCCTCGCATGCAGGGAAAAAATATCTCACACAAAAATTCCCATTACAGAAGATGAAAAGGTGAAAAAATATTCAAAATTGATGGCAGCTATTAAAAATAATTGATACAGACAAAACGTTAACGGCATACCATAACCGTCGAATAGTGAAAACGAGTTGGTTTCACAAATGTTTATGGTCCAAGGTATTGAATGTTATTGAATAGCAATTTTTGTAAATATTTGCATGTCATTTAAAGTTGAAAGGCAGATTTGTGTGTAATTTGTTTGCGCATTACGCAAACCCAAACGCAAATACTCGTACTTACTAGAGCAAACAATACAGCGGAAATTAGTACAGTGTTTTAGCCCAACTTTAATGCTAGTTTGTTAAACCTTAAAGTGCATTTACTTGAAGGGACACTGGTTTGTCTTCAACTAGTTAGTCCCTTGCTTAAAGCCTGTGTACCACTTACTTTATATGCGTCACAGATGTGTTTGACTGGCGAATGTGGGGAATATGCCAGATATGCCAGTGTAGGGTCGGGTAGTGGGTCGGGTAGTGGGTGGTGGGTTTGGCATACTAAGACGACATCATGTGGCTGACATTAGAGCATTTTTCCTTTGTGTGTGCAGCTGCCAACAACAGTTTTGCAGTTGCGTAGCTGCAAATTTGGGTTAACATGTCACGAATCCACTCGCAGTTTCTTGGCGCTTCAAAGTATGCAATATTATCGCTTAAAGTGTCGCTCTCTGGCGTCTTTTGGCATTTAACTTACTGTCTCACCCTCACCCGCCCGTCCCTCCTCTTCTCTCATTTCAGCGCGTTGGCTTCCTCTCCCTCGGACTGGGCATGTTCATCTCCCTGCTTTTCGGCTTCGTTTTTGGTCTTATTCTGGGCACCACCGAAATGCCTTGGGGTCAAAATTCCGATTGGCCCACGGAGGAAATGCGCGGCAGGTAAGGCAATGGTAAGCAACGTTAAACAAGCCCCAAATCAGACCCAATCAAGCCGAACAATTACGGTCGATTGTCGAAAATACCTCACGTTCGCAACAATTCACCATGAACAATAAATTAATTCCGTTTATTTGGTCATCGACGGATTGGATTCGATTGGATTGGGTATAATCAAATCTGAATGACATTTTCTGAAGTTGCGGTTGCCAATGTCATTCAAATTCCAATTTGTTTTCGATGTAGAATTTAATTTAGAGATATTCATGATTTGCAATTCCATATTCTATCTTTGAACTCCCAAATACTCGCATGTCAGAGGCCAAAACGACGAGCTGTCCATATGTTCGATTCCAGCAAGGGATATGTACATACGCGTGTGTATTTGAAACATAAGCACCATTTTTGTACACGCTTCATATTCCAATGAATAGCACACAATTTCCATTTGAAAATCGAACAATTTACACGACTTAAAGGGAGCATTAGAGTGACAAAAATGACTAAATGTTTAGTGGAAATGTCTGATATGAAATCATGTTTAAAATCATAAAAGATATTACCCATAGCCTTTTGGCAGTCGGCAGTAATGGAGAAAAACCATTAAGAATATTAATTAAGTCTAATTACCAAGAGTCATTCATTTCCCAGTGACAAGAAATTCGACTCCCTTAAATCCCTTAAAGAAAATTCGAAATCCATTAAATATGTTAATTATCTAGTGTCGCAAGAAGCTTAGATTTTGGTACTGCTTTAAGTCATTGGTAAGTCTATGGGTGAAAATCTAACAAATTACTTGCAAATAAGTCAAATAATCTAAGACCCAGGAGTAATGTGAGGCGTGTGCTCGTTAAAAGGGGCTCCAGCCGGCAGTGCGCGGCAGTGCGCGGCAGTGCGAGGATTTCTGAAACAATCTTTTCCCCCATCCTTGTACCCATTCCATCCCATCGCCATCTCTCCCGTCACTTTAGTCTATATATATGAGCACACATTTATTACGGCATCGTTTTTTGTCGAAGAAATCTTTAAGTTGCCACGCGCCGTCTGTGTAAATCTGTTCCAGAAGTGGGCACAAAATAGGCTTAGGGACGCGCACGCCCCGTAACAGCAACAGCAGCAGCAGCGGCAGTGGCAACAGCAGCAGCGGCAGCGACTAGAGCAATAAATTAAGCTCAGCCACAGAATTCGCCGGAAGTTGCGTGAAATGAATGTGTGTCGGCAATTGTGTTAATTGCACAAAATAAATTGTTAAAATAATAATACACAATACACAATGTGGCAGAGGCTCGGTTAAGCCTGACATCTAAATGTACTCGCACATAGATACATACATCCATCCGACATGCAAGTGTATTAGGCATCTGTATCTATGTATAATTAAGTGCCGTCGTCTGGGCTGGGGCTTTATTGTTGGCCAAGTCCCACCCAAAGAGCCCATGACTACCCACGTCTTCATCATAATAATAGGTACACATAATGAATTCTTCCAGATTGCGTGTGCCTATGGCGGGCATGCAATCAAATTGAATTTCTTGTGGTCATTCTTCTCCGACCCATTGTTGGCGTGCACTCAACTCAATAATGGTGTCACGTGGCGCGTGCAGATAGAGCCTTGTCATTGCGGACCATCGGATTAGCGACGTTCATTTGTCAGCCACCTCATTGATGATGGAAAAACTCTATTGGTTAATAGGGAATTTGCTCTGGAGGAAGAGTCTCTTAAGTGGTTGCGTTAGCAGAGGTTTCTCCAGTTCCAGTATTAATTAGATTCTTAGACTTAAATGTCAATACTTCATAAAACATTTAACCAAGTGCTAGTACTCTCAATGAGCGAAGTTTTCTGGTACAGGTGTTATTTCAATTAGGCAGATTGCACCCACCCACCTCCCATACACATGTGTCCAGACCCAAACATAAATAACAACACCGAAATGAATTAAATATATACTGCTTTCGGAGTGGGACGTCCTCACTGTTGCAGTTGTCGGCGAGCAAAAATTATCAGTGCAAATATCGGCATGGCAAAGTATCTGACAGATACGGATCGTCTAGTCTGCAGCAGCCAGGAATAAAATGTGTGCACAAGTATGTGCTTGTAAAGTATGGAACTGAATGTCTGTTTGTTCTACTTACGTTCTTTATTTAATTCATAATGGAGTTAACTTAAATGAGAATTTAAAGCAGCCCTGTTCTGGCCCTTTTTTAGTTCCATACACCCACTACTCATTGAAATAGAAAGATGTACGAGAAATCTAGGTACATATTACTCTTATGTACCAAGCACTTTTCAACACGCGACCCTAACTCACAGAAAACAATTGAAGCCCTGATTTGCCCTCATTTGCATTACTTTCAATGCACGTATTTCAACCATAAACAATTTGCAGAAACAAATGTATATGCCCAGCCTAATGCTCGGGCATAAAAAGTTAAATACTTATACAGCTCATGCTCTAGCATTCATAAATTAAACCCACACCTACGGCGACCCAGCAGAGCAAAGTCAAAGCGCCATTAATCAAGAAAAGTTGCTCCAAGGTAAAAAATATTCCGAATTTTTATATAGGCAAACCAAGGCTACAAATGGGGCGAATGAATCAAAGCCGAGAGGGGCGTGGCACAGCCAACAATACCCTTTTGTTTGATTTAGGACACGCGTGACTCTCCCTCGAGTCTATAGAATATATTGTATATAAATGGACTCTGTTCGAATACGGGGCTATAAAATAAACCAAGACAAAAGTACTGTACGTAAGAGCATACCCCCAGAAAGGGTATAGAATCGCGTCGCAATGAAAAGTTTGCCAACATTTCTCGCCATTAAACGACTGTGACTCCCGACTCCTGACTCGACAAGCCGTGGGCGACCAGGTTGGTTGGCGGAAGTGATAACAAAGCCGCTGACACTTGACAAACTTGCGCGAGTGTCAAAAAATCTTTGCGCAATGAGAGAAGGTATAAAAAGTCACCGTCACCTGGCGACAGAGAAATGGCTGACCCCTGCCGCGGCAAGGGGCATGGGGCAAGGGGCAGGGCAGATAAGCAGCGTCAGCGACAGTCGTCGGTTGTTGGCCAAACATTCATCTAAATGTGACTTAATTTGCAGTTACCTCCGGCGGCCCAGTGCCTATCCAACGAGGGGCGACAAACAGATGTAGCATTTAAGTACTGGAGAGGGTGGACATTTGTCATTTGCCTTCTGTTGTATTTTTAATTAATTTTCATATTTCGTTTTTGCTCTTTCGTTAGCCATTTTACAGTTGATTTTTCAATAATTTCTCTTTCGATTCACAGGGGCAATGTGCGCGCCTTGTGGATGGGCGTTCTGTGGGCGTTAACATCTGGCACCGGAGTGGCCGTGGCCCTGCTGCAGGGCTCTGCGGGCCCATTGATCGGTGTTGCCATTTCGGCCTCGCTGCTGCCCCCGGTTGTCAATTGCGTGAGTACCCACTTATCTGTGTGTGTGTGTGTGTGGGTGTGTGCCAGTATTTACTCATTCAAGTGCAAAATGTAATCTTTCTCTGAAGTAAGCTTAATTGGTAAGCCGATACCTGATGCTAGCAAAAGGCTTTTACGGCATGCATATAATGAGAAAAATCCATACAAATATTATGACGGAAAAGCGTTTATTGAAGATGTCTTCCGTGACCTTGAATTGTCTTCTTTTGTAGAAGGCTTTTGTTTTTGTTAGGCGCTACTAAGAGGGTATTAAAATCAATTAACATTTCTACATTATGATCCTAATTTAAAGAAAAAAAAGCACGAATAGCTCTTACTTCTAGGCATTTCACCAAATTCTGCTATGGGACTCAAGCTAAATTCATACCGAAAGAACGAAAACGTTCTCTATTTATTACATCCAAGTTCATACCAATAATTCAAGTGGTGCAACAATTCGCCCTGGAAACTGCCCTGGAAACTGCAGTGTTGTTGCAAGGACTCAGGGCGGCTAAGTTGACAGAACGGACCTAGAGGCCGGACCACGATTGGTATCGGGAAAACGCAAACGAGAGTTGGAGAAGTTTAGCTATGGCATTTTTTTGGGGAACCCTTGAAGCGAACTTCGCCATAAATTAGGCCGAAATACAATTTGCTGATTAATCTGAAGTGCATTGCCCAAAAACTTTTCCCCATAAATCTGTCCGGCCGCAGGAGTTTGAGCGGAGGCCACTCCGGACCGGTTCTCAGCTGTTTTCCTACTTTGTGTGGCGTAGCCGCAACGAGTGCATAAATTTCGACCCAATTTTCAAGTGCGAATTGTGAATCCAAGCCATGAAGCCTGTTTCCCAACTGAAAGCGGATGTTGCGTAAAATTATAAAGCGGGCACACACACTGCAAAAGGGGCAGAAGGCAGGAGGCCGAAGGCAGAAGGCAGCAGAAGGCTCCGAAGAGAAACGCATACAAAAACTTGCACATAGGAAACGGCAGACCAAGTGCCACACAAACAAACAAACTTGCCAGCAACGCCGCTTGCTGACATTTATCAATGCTGACAGAAAGACAAAGGCGCGGCTGGAAGGCGGAGGCCACAAGCATGACAAAATGATGCAAAAGCCAAATTATGGACACTGGGTAATGGCTAATGGAGGCGAGAGACGCAAGTCCCAGTCCCGAACTTTAACCGGCTAAAACAATGGCGCCGAAATCGCTTAATCATGGCGGCCACTGCGGTCGAGCATGTGTGCTAGAGCCGCCTCTCCACCTCCTCCTCCTCCCATCTACATTTGTATGGGCTGCATAAATCAGTGGCACGCACTGAAGCTGTTCGTTGTTGCTTTGTTGCTTTTCTCCACGTTTGTTTTTACTATTTTATTCTTACACACAAAGCGTGTTACAATTAATTGCTATTTCGTCTGGCCCTAAGGCAATAGCCTGGCCAACGGGGCGTATGAGTAATTTCTTTATTGGCACGCTGAAGAGTGCGTTGTGTGATTTATGAAAAAACATAGCGACGGGCACCCATTCCAAGAATTGCAATGGACAATTTTAGTTTATTAAATTTGCGACCAGTATATATATTTGTAATTTTCTTGGAAAATGAATTACGAACTTCAGTTTTTCTTTTCGGGAGAATTCACGGCTCCCACTTTCAAATCCAAGCACGCAATAATTCACAGAGTAATGGTCATAAATTCGAATAATAACGAAAACAGAAAGTAAGTCGAGGAAAAGAAATGCCCTCTGCTCGCAGACAAATGGAAAAACAAACACACATCCGTATAGGAGTCTATGTATGTGTGTGTGTGTGTGTGCATAGGAGGCACGCACTTCCGGACTTGCCGAGCAGTGTGCTGAGTCATTATAATTTATAATAGCAAAGAAGAGAACGAAGGGAAATACTCGTAGAAGAATAACAGAACGAGCAGAAAATGCGACAATGAAGTTTTATCTGCGTCGCGTCGCCCACACATACTGAAAAGTTATAACAATTCAAGGCCGGCAGGCAGGCAGTCACACTACTTTGTATGCCAAAGGCAGGCGATACCCCCACTCGGAACTAAGCACGCGGCGACCTTCTGACCCCGAAAGCAGACGCGCCAGTCCAACCACATGTGACCGGCCACGAGAGCAGCGACGGCCATGACTAACTTCAAAGTCACACTCCTGCCCATTCGTCTGACTTTCCTCTCTCCTCTTCTCTTTGCCTTGCAGGGTCTGTTTTGGTCGCTGGCCTGCATTTGGCTTATATATCCGGAGAAGCACATGAGTATTCCGCACTTGAAGAACGAGCCAATGAACTCGACCAGCGCGTATCCCTTCCTCTACACCAGCTACTTGCCCACTGAATTCCTGATCAATGGCATTGTGTCCGCTTGCCTGACTATTGTGAATGTGATTTGCATATTTATCACCGCCATAATAGTACTGAAGATTAAAGAAGTATCCGCACCGTATACTGCTAGTCCGGACTTAAAGCGGTGAGTAGATACATAGTTTATATAGTATTTATATCCCCCCACCCATTTAATACATTATATTTTTCGAAAACGATATTAAGTCGTACAGCCCTTTGGTAAATTGTATACATTCCTCTGAGTAAGGGAAAATTAAAAATCTGCCCTGTATTTAATGATGGAGGAGCAATTACTTTTACGCTTATCATTTCCGTTATGTGCGCTTGGGCAGCCTTCCATTTGGTAGTGTAATTAATAATGCCAACAGACGCAGACAAATATCAGCCACAAGGTTCTCCAGTTTCCCATTCATTGGCCTGCGCTCCTTCGGGGTTTGTCTTCGTGGTCGATCATACGTACGAGTATCCCCCCATATGTATGCTTTATATGCAAATTGTACACAGTCCTTAGCACTGACATTGACTTTAACTTAATCAGGTCTGAACTGATGAATCTCAGTTTGTTTATTGGTTTGCTCAATCTTAGATTAAGGCCCACAATGGGCAAACACAGTGCCCGCAGACGACACATGTGTGCAATGCGGCCAACTAGCTGGGGAAATTAACTTGTATTGTCTGACACTTCAGCAGGCTGCACGTTTAAATCAATAAAACGCTGGAGCTCAACAGAGTGTCGGAAAAGCGATTCGTACTCATACACAGCCAGTGTGCAAGTATATTGGATTGCGTTGTTGCTGGCCTCTTAGCGAAAACGATTTGTTAGAAACGTCTTCCGAATTGTATCCAAGCCAGCGCTGAGCGTTGCTTGGCTTCCTGAGCAAGTGCTTCCTTCAAAATATGATGTATCGCATAATTAACTCACTTATTCTATGTTTTCCCCCAGTCGGCCACTGCCGAGTGGTCTAGGCAATCTTAATGAAAATGAATGCCCTCCATTTCTGGGCGAAATGACAAATGGGAGGGAACCTTAGCTTCAGTCTCAGCCCTGCCTAGAGGCCAGACATATGGCTGGCCGTAACGACCTTTAATTTTCGAAAGTGCCGCTCGAGATAACTTTAAGCGAGGGCTAAACCTTCTTCCAACCCCAGTTGTCAGCGTACTTCTGCCACCATAAACTGACCGCGAAAGAGTGTACCATTTTATTTCATTGCACAGACAGTCGTACGAGTACGAGTATGTACGCGTTTGTAGGACATATGTAGAAACATTCTGTGTCCATGTCAACGTTTATTTAAGCACGCACACGCTCTGCAGCCTCGTTGCGGGTTGTTTGTATAGCTTTTAGAAATTGTGTATGCGGAATTCATACTCTTGCTAAGGATATGTTTATTTTGGCCAGAAGCCTGCGAACACCAACGCGATATTGGCGATATTGGCTATTGAGAGCGTAGAGTAGGTCGAGATCAGATTGCTATATAATCCAGCCCTCACAGCATCTATTGGCCAGAACGTGCATTTGTGTAAATTTGCCAGAGCCATCCGTTCCCGATGGTTTTGTCTGTTTGTTTTTCTGCACTTTGTCCAATACTTGCATGCCCTGGCGGGTCCTGGGCAGCGACCCTTTTCAAATAAAAGGAAGGACAGTCTGAGTGGAAGGACAGGGAGCTCGAGGACCACCCCCCCCCAGCATATGCCAAGCCATGCCAGACGGTCTAGTTTTCGTTCCGCAGGCTGTTGCATTACGCATAAAGTGCATGATTTCATATTTATTTGTAGTTATTCAGTTTGCCCGGCTTTGGCGACTTGGTTTTGTTTTCGTTGCTGAGGTTCTTTCTCCTTTGACAGCGGTTTATGGTTGCGAATTTCTTTTCTCTTCCAATTCAAAATGATTTTTATGGGGTTTCTCTCGGACAGATTCTTGTGCCACCACAAATGGGGGCCGTGGCTGCTGCCGAGCGGCACGCCAATAGCCTGAAGGATATTTCCTATAATAGGAAAAGTTCAGATGAGCTCAACTGAAGGAAAAGTTTTTGTAGAAGTTATCGAAAATATTATATAAAATTGGGGCCCAAACGATCTTCGTTACGTTTATGTATATGTGTAATTCATTTCATTTAACTATTCTTGTAAAATATTCTTCTTTGCAACAGATTCTGGGAGACCGATCTTCGCACTGTGCGCAAGACGAATCGCTCCACAATGCGGCACACCTTCTCCCGTGCTCGTGGCAGTGTGGCAGGAGCCGCTAGGGGGATGGACAAGCTATTTGGGTGAGTGGTAAACATAGATAAGGGAACACTCCTTGCAGCAGGACGCCCTTTAGTCAATTTTTAAGTGTCGCCTACATTTGCGCTCTGTATGAGTACTTGAGTGGGAATGTCCTGGGGCAAGGCAATTTACTCCAAACATTTGTCATGGCAAATGCTTGAAAGGAATTTGGAAAGGTAAATAATGAAAGTATTTATGTCAGGGCAGGGAAATGCGAAAACAGCGAACAAGAGAAGCTGTGCAAAAATATGTATCGCATAATTGAAATCATTTCCCAGTATTTATGGCGTGCCTTGGCTATAGGAGCCCACAAAAGGTAACAAATGGTGGTAAAATATGTTCATAATTTGGGAAATTAACTCAATAACAGATTTAGATCAAGGCTACGACAGCTCGATACCAATTTGATCATTATAAGTAAATAGAACGATGGAATAACACTTGTTTCCGACCTCCCCTATGTCGCAGGACCGGCCACTATCAAGGACTGGAAGAACGCGATGTCCAAATGGATAATGCCCTGGAGCGTGCCTTAGCCCAGGCCGAAAACGATGCCACATTCAAGAAGGTCAAGCGGATGAGTTATTCCAGCAATGCGGCTGGTGAGGTGAGTCCTGTACCAGCTCAGAATATTGTTTTCACTTGGGTTTTCCAAAGTTTATTTAAGAATTGCGCAATTTAGTCTTAATTTAAGAGGATGTTTGTTTTCTGCATGTCCCATGTCGTTGGCGGTGTACGTGATTCCGGTCTGAGGTAATTTAGCCGGTTGTGGTTCTCCTCCTGCGCCTTGTTTTTCGGTTGCGCCTCCGCCTCTGCTTGCCCCGCTTGATTCTCCGCTTGTACTTGACGACCGTCTTCTTTTTTTTGTTGGTGCTTGTGGAGGTTGTAGATGCAACCGTTGTTGTGTCAGAGGTGGCAGAGGCAGTGGTTGTCTCAGCGCCAGCGGCTGCCGTAGTCTCTTCGGCGGCCACTGTCGTGACTTCAGCCGCTACCGTGGTGGTTGCCACGCACTCGGCGTTGGTTGTGTCGACGGTGCAGTCGATGCAGGCCGCATCCGTGGGATCGGCCTCACAGGTGACGGCCGCCCCAAGCGGCAGACTTGCTATGCAGAGGGCCACGAGCACACAGCTCAGGATCGCCGTTGTCTTCCTCATCTTGCTGGAGATTCGCAAGTGGCGAATGATAATCTTTTCCCCCTGGATGCGACCTTTTATATTCGATTTCGATTCGCAAGTTTGCACAGCAGTTTACGACTTCCCTTTGCAATTTATTGGCATTCAGTTATGTCAGAAGGTGGGCCTAGTTAACACAAGCCCAAATATTTGCCAGCCATTCATCAATAGCTCGATGGCCAAATTTCTCTATAAGGCACCAGATTCAGTAATATTGATTCAGTTGATACACATAGTATCTGGTTCGCCTGCCATCTATCAATATATGCAAATACAAATGCCGAACACACCTGTTTATGTTTGTCCAATCTTCTGTCTTGCCTCTCGGAAAAACATTGCCCGTATAGTAGTCGTCGTGTCGTTTGTATGGTTCCTATTGAATTTGATGAAATTATAGTTAAACCAATGCTAGCTGACAGATGCCATATGCCCTCAAGAGCGATAGGAAGTGTCTGGAAATGGCATTTGATGGCTCAGACCTCTTCAATCCTGGCCCAGACAAGTGGCGCTCCGACGAGCAGTATTTAAGCTTAATTGCTGACAATTATTTGGCGAAGTGGTATCTAAGCAAAAACAGGGAGAGAAGGAAGTTGACCTCAAAGTTGAACCCAAAATGAGCAAAAACATGTCCAGAATGTCCACGTTCTTGGGTGGGTCATAAATCCACGCAGTTTGCAGCTACGGGTTTTCGGGAAAGGGTAGTTCTGTAGGAACCACAACTCAAGATCACTGAGTGGCTGAAAGGCATATGCGGGACTTCTTCTCGTCGCTGGTAAAAATTAGAGAAAGAAAAACCACTAATTGCAGATCTAATCGGAAAAGTTTCATTTGTATATTCTCACCTTTTCGCTAATGATGGAAAAATTTGCATGCCACAAGCCCGAATCCGGGATTATAGGGCCAGGGCCAGTTGGTTGTTGCTATGTCTGGAAAAAGTTTCTTAATTTCCTGTTTAAGAGTGGGCGTGGCAGGCAGGCAGGCAGGCAGGCGCTTCAATTAAAACTCGCCGCCAAGAAGCGTTCAAAAGCCATCCAAGCGTCGATTGCCACAAATCAACTTCTACATTAATTCATTTCGGAGCAGGCGGATGGAGCTCGAAAGAGGAAGATGTGAGCAGACGGAGCCGCGGCGAGGATGGCCCTTGAGTGGATGGCAGACTGACATGCTCTAAATATTTCGAGAGACAGGCTACAAAATACCCGAGCGAAATGCGAATTGCAAAACCAACTTGCGGAGCCTGCGACAACGCCCTCGAAACCCGCCGGCCCTCTCGACAGCTTGTAATCAGTTTAAAGTGAGTCCCGGCCACTAAAACTCAATTAACCCCATTTGAATGGAGCACGAGGCAATTGAAAAAACACAGAAACATAAAGCAGAAACGAAAACGAAAATGAAAATGAAAACGAATAACGAATAACGAAACGAAGAGTGAGCAAATCAAGGCAAAAGATTAAAAACGGAAATGGTTGGCCATTGAGTATGCCACGTTAAGAGGCCGCTCCTGGAGCTCCTGGCACTCCTGGCCCTCCTGGCACTCCTGGCGCGGCATGGCATAGGAGAAGTGAGGGCTAAAGGTTGGCAGCATTTTTCACTTAAAACCGCATTGATACTCAATTACCAGGTCGGCACTCTGCTCGGCTCCGGCTTGGACAAAACAAACGGCGGATGCGCAACACAGGAAAACGGAAGCACTTTGCAACGGAAATGAAACATCAATTAAAGTCGCACACCGAGCAGCTCCAAGCGGGCGCCCTTCCTGAGAAGAGCCGGCGCCCTGACAGACCTGCCAGCCTTCGCTTCCGAAAATATATTGCTTTTCTTCCATTGCAAGTACCATTGCCAGTGCACAAAAGAGAAAGGCAGGGAGAAAAGGCAGTCTGTGGCGTGCTCGTGCTCTTGTTCACACAAGGCCACAAGGCCCAAGGGCATAATTCGTTAGTTTTTATTGCTTAATTGTAATTTCTCATATGAATACCAGAAAGTTTAATTGGTTGCGTTGAAGTATTAGTGGGCCTAGCAATTACTTATTGGACAATTAGCAAACTGAAGCAGTTTCTTAATAATAGGTATATTAAATTAAAATCTGAGTAAGCCTAAAGGTTGTACAGCCTAAGAGCCATAGTAATATCTCTATTTTTGTGATTGTAGCTCACGGAACGTCTGGCAAAGATAGCCGGCCTCAACAGAGTCAAAGCAGATGGGGATCCCGTGCAAACAAATTCGAGCAGCCTGGCTGGAAGCCGGATGAACTCGATCCCCAACTCCCAACTAAACGTCGATCTAAAGGTGCTGGACAAGCTCGTGAGCAGTCTGCTGGAGCAGCATTCTTCTGGCAGTAAGTCCGCGGAGTCTGGCACCCGTACTCCGCCCCTTCAGCGGCTGGCCTCCAAGAAGTTGAATCGCTGGCGTCCCTTGTCCCGATCGGCCCACAACTATACACGTGGCGAAGGCAGCGATAACATTGGAGGGAGCTTCACGCAGCTGCTGGAGCGCACCGAGGCGCAGACAGCCTTGGCCCAGCACGCACCCAACATGCCGACCATCATGGAGAGCAGCGCCGGAAGCCCCACTCCGAACAATGCGCAGCAGCAGGCCTCCCACCACCCATGGACCTCCTCGCTGGACGGCACACCGGGAGCAGTGCGTAACGTTCTCCACAACATCGGCCAGGCTGCCTCTGCGGCCACTAGGCGCGAGGGCGACGATCAACTAAATTTGACGAGCAATTATGTGGAATAGTGGAGTGGAGGCTTTCTCCTCGCTTAAAGCTAACTTAAGCTAAGCACACATTTTCATAGTCATGTTTGCACTCATCTCACCTGTCGTTCCATGACACCCGACAGCTGCTCCCTCTCAGCATACCGATAATATCCTGTTAGATTTGCCCCGAGTCGCATGGTCACTTCGTAACGAGTCTTCCCGCTGCGTGCCGAACTGGGGTTGCTTCTCTCGACAGAGTAGCTCCGACCGGAGCTGGGACTGGCGCCGATGTAGCTGTCAAAGTTGCAGGCACTATGACAATCGATGGAACTCGCATTAGCAGTGCATCCTAGAAAGAAACGGCAATAGTTGATCAAATTCAATCACTGGAAGATATTCATAAAAACGAACCAGCACAAACAACCCTTCATCCATCACCTGAAAACCAACTTTCCCACACAAGAATAAGGACGATATGAAATTCGGTAGTAGCTGTGCAGGAATTCTTAACGTCAGGTAATAAAATTCAAAGAATGTTCCTGGCATGCACTTGGATAATCTTGTGTCCGCCCATTCCTTTCACTCCATTAAAATCGCCCCACCTGTTCTGAGCCTGACAACAGACCGACCAGAAGGTCGAAATCGATGAAATTGGAATTTTTCATCTAGGGAAACAAGTTTTCCAGGTTTTCTAGAATGCTAATTTAATTATGATTCATGATATCTCACATTGGCGAAATGCCGATGAAGACCAGCCCAGGCTACTCCCTTAGTCCCACTTTGCATTCTCAGTACAATTTCATGCACTCGTGCGTTTCAATAAACTCCAGGACTTAAAGCTGGAAAACTGTTGGGGTTCTTGTTTTCTGCCCGAGTGACATGGATTTTTACTGCTTTGCCTGCAGCAACGACAGGGAAATTGGCAAGCATCCCATCCAGTGACAACCTGAGGTTTTCCATGGAGTTCCTTGTTTCTCTTCCACTGCTTTCAGTTGCAGTTGTTATAAATTGTTGTTATGTTTGCACGCTCTTGTCGATTAAATGGCTCGAGAGGGGCTTCTAGAGGGAGATCGGCGACGCCGCCCGCCGCTTGGATGTATTTTCACTCATTTGTATGGGCACCTCAGCTGCAATCGAGTGCATTCTTAATGATAATCATTTCCGTAATTACATTTTCACTTTAACAACTTTGCCCTTTTATCGGGCGCTGCACCACTTCCACATACTTCGCGGAGAAATTTACACTTTTCTGCACTGGCGCCTATTATGTTTATGTATCACATTAACATTTATTACTGCACTTACCCTGCGTGGTCCTGTTTATTTCGGGTATTTCACATCTGGTTCCTTTGTACCCCATTGGACAGTGGCAAGTTATGGCCGCATCGCCGATGTGCCTGAAAATTACGATAAAAAGCAAACCCGACTAAGAAGGGCAAATATACCTTATACAAATATCCACACACAAATGTATGCGGCCTAAAGAAATACAATTATATATGTAAATATATATATGTATAATGTATGTACATATGCACGTGTACATTCAATAAATAAAAACAAACGAAATCCAATCGCCTCGCTGCCCTACTGTAACTGTAAACAAAATGCAGTCCAACGAACGCAACAAAATGAGAGCAAAAGAAAGAGAGGAAAACGTATCAGCTTACGTCCCACACATGATGAAATTATACAAGGTGGCCCGTTAGCTCTCTTTCGTGTGCACTAGTGAGAGCGGTTTCTTTGATGAGAGAGAGATGAACGACGTTTGCTTGTGTATTAAGCACAAACAGACCCGAAAAGAGCGCGCATAGCGCTAATATCTATCATGGGCGGTCCCTCTCTGCCGATCGTCTCTCTCAGCTTCGCTGACGGCAGACAAATTGCACTCAAATACTTGCAAATGTATGTAGCAGTATGCGTAGAAAAATCGAGCATGTACTTACTTGCAGGTTCCACCGTTTTGGCACACGTTTGTATGTACGTCTTTGCATAAGGGACCATGTCCACAGTCACTGCCGCTGAAGCCTGGAAAACAGGCGCAACCGTACGAGCTGCAAATAAATGTCAAAACGGGAGATGTGAGCACGTTTCGAGTTCTATTTGTTATCGGGTGTTGTTTTGTTTTGTGTTGTGTTGTGTTATTTGCTTGAAACTGTAAAGTTCGCACCCTCTGGTCAGAGCAGAGCCCACAAGTTGTCAAGCTGGGCTGCGGAGTTGTCAGCGCAGCATTCACATTTATTTATCTCCGAGCTTGCGCCTTGTCACAGCCGATGAGCTGCCCAGATTGTGACTCATAAAAAGTTTTATTGGACCATTCTGATGGAGGAATTTTATAAGGTACGTGCCTAAGCTGAATTCATAGTTATTTCAAAACCATCTTCAAAGGAATTCACATCAAAATATTTAACCACAGACAACATTTTAAATATGTAAGATTTATACGCACGGCAAACTCAATTGAATTGGGCATTACACAACTTTTAAAACGGGATGGCATATTTCTAGGAAAGTTGACGCATTGCAGGGTCACAAATACCTATTTATCTTTCCAGCAATGTTCACATTTAATCAATTGAGGTTTTTTCATAAGATTTCCAAGGCGGCAGCTCGACGTCGCTTTCTGGCGGTTTACCTAAATCCGATTTTAACGAGAAAATCATTCTAATTGATCTGCTATTAGTAGCATCTGGGGTTTTCTATCTGCAATCTTATGAACAAATCGGACCATTAATAAAAGTGGCCAAAACGACATAAATGTTTTGGGCGCTTAGGCAAAATCAAACGGCTGTGCCACAAAGTGGGGAGAAAACTTTTCCTGTCGCACAACTTTTACTTTCTGGAACATTTATTTGTGCATTCTTTAAATCTTTAGTTAAAAAAAAAAATCTGATTTCCAAACAGTTCGGTTCCTAGCATTTTCATCTCGCTAACTATGTGTTTAAGAATACTTTCTATCTTCGGAATGCACTCATTTATCATTTGTGCAAATGGAAATGGATGGCTTGGGAGTCCGCCCCTTCGTTAAGCGTACATACTACCATTTTGCCTAATACACTGGCCTTGTTTGTTGTACATATATGCCATGGGAGGCCTGTACGCTCTGGTGCTATTGTATTGCGGAAATTAATTGCCTCTGTGTTCGGACATCTGCGCTGCTTACAAATCCATGCTGACTGCTCTCTTCTACTGCTTGTTGTGCCCTCTGCGCCGGAAACCTTTTTCTACATAAACTGCATGCGACTGAGCTTTAAGACTGCTTTATAGGTGCTGCCGAGCAAGTAGGAGTTGTCATAGCCCATGCATTATCTGTGTAACAGAATGCTGTATCTTTAAAGTAGTTGTGCATCGACAGGCGCTCGTAAGAGCGAACCAGCCCGATGCCGGGTGCCGGGAAAACAAGGATTTCGATCCTGTTCTGCTTTGCATTTTTTACGAATCGTTGAAAATCACCTGCAGCTGGCTTTATTCGTGTGTTCGCAAATTTTGATAGGATTTTTTTTTTTTTTCTTGCATAATTCTGTATATTTTGCGACATGTGCACTTCGAAAGTTTTTTTCTCACAAAAAATATTTGGCACACAGCGTTTTATTTTCGAGGTACGCTGCGGGCCCTTTGTTTAAAATAAAAATTAAAAGTACCGCACATACACATACGGCAGGTGTAACACTTTGGTTTTGGCAGAAGGAAGCGGGGATATTCATGGTTCTCGGAGAGAACCCATTGTTTCGCCTGCATTTCGCAATCCCATTCCAACTGCGCATTTTAAATTCATTCAAATTTGAAAAGCCGAACAATTAAAATCGCTTGCCAAAAATCTGCGACTACTTTATAGGGCTCCACTCGAAAAGTGCTGACCGAGGAGGATAGTACAGAGGAGGAGCGTACAGGCTCCACTGCTCCTGGCTAACCCAGACAGCACACATATGGCTGCCATAATATTCATGTCATATCCTTCGCCAACATTCCCTTCTTCCTGGCATCGATAACAAAGAAAGCTTGATCCAGAATGTAATGCAGGATGTGGACAAGTCCGTATGGGTTACTTAGTTGGAGCTAACAAACTACATTTTGGTATGTTTTTGACAAAAAGCCAAAGTGCACAGACACAGACACAGACACAAAAATATGCAGACCAGAATTCATAAAGTTTTCCACAATCATGTGCTTTAGGTGAAGTATGAGAAATATCATATTATATCATATTCAGTTGGCATAAAGGCGTGTGTGGGGTGTGGGGGGTCTAGGCGTATCTGGGCATCGCACGATAAAATGCAATGAAATTACAACAAATTGCTGCCGGAAGGCAACCGGTTGAAAAAAGTAGCATCTAAACGGTGGCAATTACTTTTTCACCCTTTCGCCTAATGCAATAAAATTTAATTTGATGGCCCTATGTGTAAAGGTGGCTGAGTGCGCTGCAAGAATAGGGCTTGTTGAATGGTTTGTGGCGGCCATTTAACGGCTCCCCAGTCGTAAAAAACATACACAGGTACCTAAATATATGCAAAATGTACGTACACATACGCACTCCTACTTATATGTATAAAGAGGTATATTTTTGTATTTTAATGGCATTTCCTTTTCTGTATACAAATTATTTTCGTAAAATTCCGAACCCTTCTTTTCAAATTTCATTCAAAATCTCTTCAGCTAATTGTATTTTTCGTAGACCCTAGAACGAGTATTATCAGGCGAGATTCGTGTGGATACGCCCATCTGTATTAATTTTGAGACTCTGCAGATACATGTATGTATCTCGAAGATAGGTCAGGAAAATTAAAAGTTTTAATTGAGCGGAATTTATTCAGAGATCAGCTGACCCACAAACGAGACCAATGTGCCAATTTTGAGGCCAAAACCAACTTAATTTCAACATGACCAACTCAGTATCCGCCCGTAGTCCATGTGGGCCGTTTCTCGACTTTGGGAAAATGACACTGTTTGACATGGCAAACAATGCACGAGGCGCACGCAGGCGAATCGGAATGACACTGACACAGATACCATGTGGCGAGCTGCACGTGCAGCGGTCACATCGATGTGCCCCACCTCCACCTCCTGCACCTCCTCCCCCTCCGCCCGCTCTGAGCCTGATCTCATTTGGTGCTGACATTTTGTTTGCTCAGCAGCAGCTACGCTTTTTGTTATTAAAGCTGCTTCAGACGCAGACCTAGAGCCATAGGCTACGCACATTGATTGCCGAACATTTGCCACTGCCCCTGCCCCTGCCCCTCCCCCGTCCCTGCTGCGCACACAATTTGCCGCTTGAATGTGGCCTAATTCTGAGTCGATGTCATTGCCGTTGGTGCTTCTTCCCCTTCCCCTTGTTTACTGGTAGCTGTGCGGGCCTTTTAAAAGCCTGCCAATCAGTGGGACAGGGATTGCCGTCCACACCCTCGAAATGTTATGGCACTTTTGTTTGTGATTACAAACCTGCGTCCTTGGCTCCAGAGGCAACTGGCAACTGGCTTCCATTCCATTGAGTTAACAATTTTCGAATGCAAACGGATATTGGTTGCCCTTTCTACATTTCGACTATCCCAAAGACTTAAAGAAAAAAAATATTAAATTACTGAATCAGTTCAATATAGAGCTTTATGATGACCCTCAAAGCGAGAAACTTTTTCAATTAAGCGTCTGTTAATGAAAATATAGAGCTGTAGAGCGGCCGAAAACCCTCCAAAAAGGGGAAAGAAAACCAAATTGAATGCCCAACCGAAATGGCTTAACCCCGAAAAAGTATTTAAAAATATAAATTGGTTACTGGTCTGCGGAGTTTTGCGGTGAGGTGCAACAGATTTTCATTGGCCAGCAAATTGATGAACGCCCGTTCAGACAATGCCGATGGGGCAAATAAATGCATAAAAATTCTTGTAGAAGTGCAGTCAGTCAGTCGTCATCAAAGTGGAAGGAACAAAACGAAATGAAAATCGAAAAGGGACTGCCAGGAGCAGACTCCCCGTCCTGGCCGATGGCCAATTGTTTACGGCTTATGGTTTTCGCTTGCTCTTTTCTGCTGCTTACAGTTTATAGAAAATCATTTTGAACATCATTTATGCAACATTTGTTGTCTTATAATGACCAAATTAGAAAAGTGTCAAGAGGATATATAAATATTTAGTTACTTCTGATACTAGATTTATATCTTAAGCTTTCCCTAACCTAATGCCTGATTTTCTTGCGACGGCGCATACTCAAAGATACACACGTTTAGAGAGGACACACAAGTATCCCAGAGTTTCCCAGTTGTTGTGCATTTTTCGCTCATTAGCCCAACAAAAGAGCTAGAGCCACAGATGTGAATGCAGTGCGACGAGGTGCTGAAAACAAATGAAAAGTAAAGATTGTGTTGAAGGATGTCAATTGGTCTCTCGTCGTCTCATCACCGCGGAGTTGGGAGCTACTTCTGGGTCCCTTGCACGGATGTTCCTGCTGTGTTTTGCTCTGCTTATCTGAGGCACGTAGAGAGTGATGAGGCCCCATTTGCCTTTAGCTGGTAATTAAGTTACGGGGCGCTACGTGTCAGGCGCGAAATTATATTTTAGAAGAACGGCACTGCGCCGAGAGGTCCGAAGCAGAAGAAACTTCAGCTGTCACTTTTGTATTAATTTTCCCTTGCAGGCAGCTCCATTTGCTTTCATTTTTGGCACTGATATTAATATTCAATTAGCTGGGTAAATACACGTTCCCCTCGGCCTACCAATTTATTATAATTATGGTAAGTAGTCAGGGAAGTGAAGTGGCAACTTTTGTTTGGTTTTGTTCCGGCAAAAGTTGATCAAAAACCCGAAGCACCAAAAATATCCAGCTTCCGATTCAAGCAAATTTTGATTTGTTAAATCTCTGGGGTCATTGTTGGGCCCAGTGCTATGTCCGTGTTAAATGCTCTTGCCTTGTTTAAATGTTTTCATTAAACTTTATAATTGGCCTGAATCGGAACACTTGTGTTTGTTACTTGTTGCCGAGTATTTTCGGGAGAATAAATTACATACCTAATTCATAAAAGCTAATTCCACGCTTCCTTCTTGAATCCGTGCCGTCAAACACCTGTTCAATTAATCAAAAGGCAGAACAATCTGTCCGCGACTTGACCTGGACTTGACATGTCCCGACATACCACAAGCTGCACGTCAAGCTCAATTTCGAAGCTCATCCGTAAAATCCTTTTACCTGAATTTTGTCGGGACAAATGCACACGCTTTGCAGTCTTTCTTTTGACTGTTGGCTTACACATTCGTTTTGCACATTTTTGTACTTTTGTTCTTGGCTTTTTTTACCCGATACTCAAAGAGGGTACAGGGTATAGGGGTGTGCTAGACTTGTGGCCAGTAGAACCCTCTCTTTCAGACACTCTTCCTGGTGCACTGAAATACTGATATCTGGAATAAATGTAGAGTCTCGGCCCTAGCTGCAACTCACAACGTTACCGCTCGTCTTTTTTTTTTGGGAAACTGCGATGCTTTTTATTGTTTTGCCTGGCTCTTCCCTGGGGATTTCAGCAGGATGTAGTCGTTTTTTGGGGCAACGAAGGACCTCCTCCACTTATTGAAACATTACAAATGTATGGCTCCCACTTGGGTTAGGTTGAAAGCCTCGAATCGAACCCAACACAAAAATGCAAAGCCGAAACAGTTCAACAACTTTTCCAGTGGTACCTTGAACACCAAAAGGGCAACAAGATTGATGTGCCAGCAGTTAACAGTTTCAACGGCTAGCTGTCGGTGATTTTTGTAAGCCATATATCGTACATGGTACCGTATTTATCCTGAGCAGAAAGGAAGCTCATTTCCCCCTCCATTTCCCTTACCGTGCTATAATAGTGGCTTAAACAAGCTATAAGCTCCAAATGAATGTCGTGACTAGTTTTAGGATAAACCCATACATACCCGTAGTCCGCGCTGGCATAGCAATCTCCAAGAAAGCGGCACTGGAGAGTGTTGCACTGCGATTGCTTCACATCGTGCTGCACCTCGTACGTAATGTTGAAGCCGTAGACGTCGAGCAGGCGATCCAGTGCCCGTAAATGAGTGCCGTCCAAGGTGGCCATCGTGAACCGTATCTCCAAGTACTGGCTGTGGAACTGCACCCAGGATACCTGGGTCACTTCGTCCTCCGTCAGCGTGAAGACGCGGTGGGCAGGCACCTTGAAGTCGTCCGAGTAGTACATGTACTCGGTGAGCTTAAGGCCGCTCAGCACGTAGAGCTGTGTCAGGTAGACCACTATCGATACGTTTTCCTTCCCCTGGGATGCGGGCAAGTCGGAAGCATCGATTATCCATATGCATTCGATGGGCGTGGGGAAGCGATGGGGAAAGTTGGGCGTTTGAACGATGCCGTTTCTCTCCTTGAGCACGCCACCGCAGCCGGAACTGCCGTTGATGGTTCCGGCTAGGCGTGCGGGGCTGCCTTGACCCCCTGAACTGTGATCACCCGCAAAGGCGTTCATGGAGAAGTTGTGCTTGGCCGCCGAGAAGGGCGGCGGGGGCGGCAGCGGCACGGCGGGCAACGAGAACTTCTGCTCCATGCTGTACCGGGCATTCTGCTGGTGTTTGTCTTCTGTCTTGTGCTGAGGTGCCACTGGCAACAGCATCACCAGCAATATCGTCGTTGACAGCCCGACAAGTGTGGTCAACAGCGACATTTACTTGGCCTTTTCTCTTGCCCCTCTTTTAGAGTATTTCAGTTGTACTTTCGCCTCGCTCAGCAGAGCTATCATTTGCCATTCGGTCTAATAGGGACATGCGTGCAAATTATAGTTGTTTTTCCGACGGTACAGTTGTTGGTGTCGCAGTCGATGGTGCGGTTGCCTCGGCCCAGTTACTCATTGACATCTGGCCCATTTTTTCGACTGCAAGTAAGAAAAAATAAAGATCAAGTCAAATTTTAGTTGGACCCATTTTGACAGCTGTCGTTTGCATTTGAATAACTGGCTCTCTGTCTCTCATCCTCTCTTCCCGTCGGAAGAGGCCGCCCTAGAGCCGACCCGTATTCTGTCAGCGTGAAAAAAGCAATTTGAAAATCCACTAAAACGGCCGCTGGAAACGGCGTGGTTCGCGGAGAAGCTGCCGGAGCACATCAATCATGGCTTCATGGGTGTCGTGAATCGTGGCCGGCCATAAAACAAAAACACAAAATGCTCACTTGCCCGTCCGCTTTTCCTTTCAACTTTCAAATTGTTTTCCCCTATTTCGTAGGTACATTTTTGGCCCCGTCCGCTAAACCTAAACCCTAAAAGCTCCGCCTATCCTTGACTGGGGCAGGTTTTTTAGCTCTGATCTTAGATCTCTGAATCAGTTGGGCGTAAAATAATGATTAAGAAACGCGTACAAGTGGCGTTGGAGTGTTTTTCTAACGGTAGTCAACTAAAGCGAATCGGATATACAGCTTTAATCTTATCGAACTCAAATAAATGTGGGCGAAGTTCCAAAGCAGTGCAAACACGACGATAATTATAATTGGGCCGTCCTAATCGTGTGTGTATGTACATACGCATGAGTATCTGCACCCGTCTGTGTGGCATGTTACTTATAGGTAAATAGCTTCGATAACCCAATCAAAATATTAAGTGCCAAATACCTTACGAAAGTGGCTTTCGAGCCGCTCGATACATCAATTATTCACATCTTGGGGAAGTGCACAATCTCTGTGAGTTCTGTGATGAATAGATTATGCAATGATATCTTTCTGTGGGTATGGAAATACCTCATGGGCTCCTCATGGTGCACACGCCACACCGTTGACTTTAAAGTGGTGCCAAAATTTGCCATCCGCTGCGTCAGGGGGGTGGAAGAGATGCCTGTCCGCGTTGCGACGTGTGTTAACAAGTTTAATCAAACGACAGTGTCGCCAGATACGTGCATACTTTAAGGCGTAACCGTCGACTGAAGACATGTTCGCCCTCATACGGTCGCAGCATATGAGCACATGTGAAGCCCCTGAGTAGGGGTGTATAAGGATGTATAAGGGTGAGTTTGGGTGAGTGAAAATGAGTTTTCCCTTGAAATTGCTTTAGTTACGCTCTCGAAGCATAATGAATAAAATTGTCATTGTCGGAATAGAACCGCTTACTCTTCAGAAAACTTTAATATAAATGAAATGTTCTCAAGTTGATTCGGGACGTCCTGGCATCCCAGAAATGTGTGGGCTGACCCGAGTATACCCCTCCTGATGCGCCTAAACCTGGACCACGCCCCTGCGTTCTGGGCTAAAAAGACGGTCTCGCGTTTAACAATGACGCCTGGCATACCCAACACTTCTCCATAGATAAGAACACTAGGCAGGCACTTCAACTGATACCGATAAACGTAAAGCTAGTCAGCCGTCGGTGTTGTCGCCGTTCGTGGCTACGCTGACGCTGACGCTGGCGCTGGCTTCGCCGGCGTTACCGCGTTACCGCGTCGAGCAAATTGCCAATTTAAATTGTCCACATTAAATTAGTCGAGTTATCAGCTTCCACGGCGGCAGGTGTGCGGAAAGTGTACGGATCGGGCCGTAATAAAAGCTTCTTTTTTCGCCGCTACGCATTACGCAGCCTTGAGGTTTTGAATTGACTGATTCCGGCGATTCCGCAGCATGGAGTGGAACTGTTTCTGTGACTGTGACAAACTGTAAAAAGGTGACCCTTCCTCTCAAAAGTGACGCGATTATTGCTTAAATAGTTGAAATACGTATTTTTTTTGGTAATTCTTTAATGATATGACTAATTCGCGGGTGTGCTCAAGTGTTTTTGGTGAAAAATGTGAAAACAACTCAAATCCTACAGATAAAGTGTGTAAATTACATTGATCTCAGCCGTTTACTATGGCAGGATGCGGAGTGTGTGCAGTTGAATACTTTAATTTGTGTCAAAAATAAAAACCCAGCAAATATATCAATCATCTTCAATTTCCTGATATCGATATCTAATCAAAAAGATATGGCTGATTGACATATTCTCAAACAATTCGTGGAAAACTTTGAGTGTTTTAGAAACAATTAAGTGTGGTGCCATTGAATCAACTAAGTTTATGAGTTTTGAGCTCCCGCGATTAGCATAATGGGTCTATCGCTTCGTAAAGCTTAAACAATGTGAATAACACTCCACTTTGCCCACACAAAAGGCTTATCGGGAGCACTTACGATTTCCTTGAACAAACCCAAACCTTGATCGTTCAACAAAAAGGCATATGCTTCAGCCGGAATCTAAACCCACAAAAAATACAAAACAAATGAAAAGGCATTTGCTTTGGCCGTGCAAAATTTAGCCATTATGAAATGCAGTGAAAAAAAATCATTGAAGCAAGTGAAAACTAACACATCAAGAAGTCTGCTGATAAGAGCCAACGAAATGTCAATAAATTAATATAAATGAGTGACTCGTGACTTGCGGCTCTTTCGAGTCACTTCGGCCTTTCTCTGGTCGTTGGTGTTGTCGTTGTCGTTGTCGTTGATTTTGCCGATGGTGCCGGCTGCGCTGCTCGTCGAAGCAAATCAACGCACGAAAAGTGAAGTGAAAATGTCCATGAAAACGAAAATAACCAGAAATTGTAATTTTTTGATTTGGAATATACATTTCTTGTGTTCCCAGCCATCGAGATATGGTCTAACAGAATTCTCCACAGTTGGTGTATGACTAAACGAATAAAAGGTTTCTTTAAGTCAGTGCATTGGTCATTGGCTCTGGGCCTACTAGCTATGAGTCGGTAATCCCTCAGAAATAACGCCAACCCCAGCGTTGGCTCCTTTCCTTGGGGCCGGCCGTTCAGGGCATTTGATCTAGAGCTTTTAGGCAAACAATGAAAATCCCCCCGCATAAATAGAAAACAATTAAGCATTTTAAACGATAAGAGAAAAAGAGATAAAAGCCAGCAAGCATACTGATTCATCGCTGTAGACCCAATGCTGAACAAACTGAGGCGTGGACAGAGACAGAGGCAGAGGCAGAGCCAGAGACAGAGACAGCGGCGTCGGTATCAACAAAAACAGAGAAATCGGTAGCCAGCCCGCCCGCCCTCAGTAGTAATTAAAGCAGCACCAGTTGACGATGCGCACATTTTTCGAACTTTGAAACTTTTGTTCTTCAAACAAATTTATCAGATACAAAGCAAGAGCGGCTTGGTTTTGTTGGGGCAGTTGATAAGCCAATGTGGTCAGCAGTGGATTTAGTCTAACGCTTAGATTCTTTATGCTAATGGTCTGCTGCACTTTCGGTTTTACAGAACCCTAGATAAGTGCGTGCCCGTATTTAATCAACAAAAGACCGAAATAAGTGCTTAAAGTTCTACCCTTTATGCCGAAATTGCCAACAAACACAGGAAATGTATAGCACAAGTGTAAGATGTGATGATTTATGGTTATGGTAAAATGATTGGAATAATTAAAGTGTTTCATCTATAACATAACAGCAGGATTTCAGATAAAGTGATAAAATATCAACTAACCAGATAAACTAATATACATATTTAAATAAAACAAATAAAAGGCAGGTGTCAATATGGCCTGCTTTCCTCGATTGTTCCATCATCGCAACAAAAACAAGTTCACTCCCGCCCAAGACGAGAACACCGACACGATACTCAACACGCACGATAGTCCGGTGGTGAGTTTCTGTGGGGCGCAGATCATGCTGCAGCAATGCTCTCGTCTGATAAGCCCACTGATAAGTTGATCGAGTGCTTAATTGAGTTAATCGGGGCGGCAAGAAAATCCATAAATAATATTTAGCCAGGCGAATCGGCAAAAGTGTAGACAAGTGCAGATGTCTTGCGAAACAGTCTTAGAATTATACGATATTAGCGTTTTTCATCAACGCAAAGCGTGTGCAAAAAAATACCTGATAGGAGATTCGAGTAGTACTTAGGACAGATATCGTTACTCTGACTGATCGGAAATACTCTCCCAGTTGAGGCAGACAGGGTATCGGACGAACAAGTACGATTGGAGCGAAACCTTGCTTCGCTTATCATTTATTTCACTGCCCATGACGTTCACTTTTCAAAATGGTTATCACACAAGCATCAAACACACAGAAAATGAACGGAAGCCGGGTGCCCAAGCACTCTTTGTCAGAAGAAAATACTTGGAGAAATATTTGCCAAATACCATTCAAATGATGGGCATACAAATTCCACCGAAACTTATTAGGCCCACTTCAAACGAGCTGGAAGACTGGAAGAAACGACACTTGGCTTAGTGCAATATAAGCGTTTTAGCAATGACAAGTTGGTATTAAATATGCAAAAATATGATAAGCATGCATACAAATACGAGTAGGTGTGGAGAGAGAGAAAACGCGCTGAGAAAATCATACCGGAAGCAGAAACTCATGCATAAATCTCCAGCAATGTGTATGAGTTTGGGCAGCTTGCAACCACTGCTCCAAATGACATATAAATATGCAGAATCCGTAGGATGCGTGGCTATCTTTAGACATATCTGTGGCTGTCTCTGGGGGTAGACGCCCGAGAGGGCTGTCATGTTTTTCGTTGGAGATGGAGATGGAAATGAACGTGATTGCACGCCTGACGCTCGAGCTATTCTATATAACTCGGGGACGTTCAGTGTCAAAGCCGTTAGGAAAACATGAGCTCCACGGGAGGAATCCCCAGACTGTAACAATGGCTGTAGCGCAGAAATGTACCAAAGCCGTTGTGTAGGCAAAGCCCTTCCACCGACTTTAGCTGCAGTCTGTCCATGGACATTATCGGGGACTTTATCAGAGTTTTGAGCTTCCGTGGGAAAACGGAAAACACGTCAGAATGTCGTCGTTTAGATCGATTAGCATATCAAAGTCAAGCCAACCAGCGACTTGCGTAGTGGCAGGTGTTTATTTATGCCTGCTTTTGGCTGCCTTCACTCAAAGATAACAAG